TTGAAGTACGTGGGGTGAAGCATTTATAGAATTGTGGTTCGAATAGAGGACGTGAGCGAAACAGTTTCGGTAATGTTCAGACGTCATTAGTCTAGTCGTGTGTAAACCACATTTCATTAATAAACAAAGGCCAAAGTCCATTCCATGCACCCGCCAAACCCCTTGTTTATGAATGAAAAACTTTACACACGACACAACTGATCATTTCCGGGACAAGTGCTTCGCTGACGACTTTCGAACGAACTACAACACTAAATGCTATACCAACGTACTACAGATACAAATAATAGGCAACAGAACCTAAACACCTAACAGTGGCTAAATATGCTAATATATTATAACTTATATTTGAAAAGTTCTGGTTTGAACGAATAGAACGTTAAAATTGATAGGTACGTCTTTGGGGTCGACGGCTGGTCTAAAGACTGGCTGGTGCCTGGGGGGCAACACTTGGGAATGACACCATGACCAAACACTGGTAGTGAAGGAGCAAAGGGACATGGCGACATACCAGTCACAGGTGACGGATTGTGGAGAGAACGAGCCAAGGACCAGGCTAAGAGTCTGAGAAGTAAGAGCACATCGGGAATCATAGTGGATATGGGGCCCCTGATACAGGGCAGCAAGGAAGGCAGAGCGTGAACCAGCACAGAAATTTGGTGCATATTTCCAAACGGTACTTAAGGAATCCTACTGCAGCACTCTTTCCAATTGTTATACAGGCTGCGACTTACCCCAAATATTGTCATCAATTTAAGCATATTGTGTGTACTTTAAATCTGCATTTTTGTAATATAAGAATATTATTACATAGCCTAACTATACATGAAATTAAGTTACCAAAAGAAGGCACCAATATTGCAGTTGCCTTAGTTCCTGGGGTTCAGGTCCCCGGGGCTCGGTCCCTGACCTGGCCGCGGGGACCCTAACAAACGTCCATTAAAGATAATGGAACAGTATTTACCATTATATATATTAATAAAAATGAAATATACGGTGGTTGCTTATTTGTTACATAAATTTGCACATTAAAACCATTAGTATGCAAAGGGGTTTGGACATACTAAGGATAATTCAGTTAAATTATTGATAGGTTTAGTGTGGTAAACTACTAAACCAGACGTAAGCTAACAAGCTATATATGACTTTTAGTAAAACACTTTGCAAACACTACAATATTTAGGTAACGCCTAATGGTTGAAGGCATCGTTCAACACTATTTAGTATTTAGTAGTTAGAATAACGGCAAAACAAAAAATTGTCTATAGCACTGGTCAGGATAAGAATGAGATTGGATGTTTGTACATTAGTGTTTCAAATATTTTTGACTGGTGGGCAGGAGTGATATTAATCTAAAATTGTTTATTTCTGTGAGACACGCACTTTTGTGGGCTGGGATTAATCCAACCTTTTTAAGAATATCAAGGCTCGGGGTTAAAGTGATTTGCAGTAGAGCCGGAGATAAACACCAATTCAAATTCAATTCAAGTTTTCTTTATTATGCACCCCATACCCATCCCGTGGGCGGTGGTGTAAAGGATTAGAGGCACATAAACGTTTCAGGAACTGAACCCTCTAGTTCGTTTAGCTAAGCAAATAATCTTTTGACGCTAGTGACAATTATTAATGTTATATATACACATACATGTACATATATATATATACATACACATTCAATCGCCTACACAAATACACACATCAATAATTTTTTGTATCACAAGTGATTCAACAAGAGGCTCACAACAGTCTTTACATCTCTGGGAGTCCCACAGTTACTAGTCTTGCTGCTCACCCACCCAACTGGGCGGCAGCTTTACAGTCATGTGCATGCTGCACCTACAGTCAGCAAATTTTGGTTACATCGCTAAGATTTCGGGCAGCACATCATTATGAATGAAGTACTTACACATTTCTTGGACACCATTGATGGTGTTATCTCTGAATTCCGCGATTTTTTTCACATTGCAGTATATAATGTTGCAAAGTATGCGAATAGTTCTGCTGACAAGAGTTTACATGTAGTCAAATCTACATCAGCAGATGTTACAAACTCCCAGAGGTACTTGTAGCCGAGCCTAAGCTTAGCAGTGGTGGTAACATATAGAAGTCTGCTAACCTTATTGGATGACCCATAGACGTGCGGTACTTCCTGCATAATAGAATGATGATAGATAGAGGAACTGGTATGAATTTCACTATGCCTCAAGGTAAATGAGGACCGGAGGTCCATTATAAATAGCCATTTTATAATGGAACTATCTCTAGTGGCCTGGACGAGGACAGGAAGCCGGCTAAAGTAATGGACAATAAATTGGTAATTAATACAGTAGAATTAGAATGGTAGCCGGGTGCAGTTACAGCCTGGCAAAAGGCACAGGTATAGTACACCATGCAGGTTTCTGGGTAAGATTAGATCAAGGTTCCTTGGATTGGATTGGAAAGGTTTCCCTGAGGTGGGTTACTGGGTGTTCCGCGGGGTCCCACTGGGCGAGGTTGTCTTCATTAGTTACTTTATAGGTCTTACCACTGCCAGAGCCTCTACAGCTGTGTTGATACACCCTTAGCATTGATTGCGAACTTTTTGCAGTTTGTAAAAAGGTTTCTGCCTATTTCTAGTCAAACTTTCATTATCATAAGGACTGGACTTATTTTTTTTTATACAAACACGGCAGCGTTCATAAAGGCGATTTTCTCGAGCAATTTTTTAATTTGACACAAATGCCTCTGTTGTTTACACCAGTATAACTTTCCTTCCTACTCTCTAAGCTGCTTTAGTGGGTCTAAGATCTGAGCCAATTTTCTCCACTCTACGTCTTCGCTTCTCTAACACGATTCAAGCCAACCTACCCTAGCTTAACCTAACCTTTCCTATTCTATCCCACCCTAATCGAACGTAGCCTATCCCAATCACGACTAACGCAAATTAAAGATAACGTATGTTTTATACGAGAAATGTACGTGGTGTGTGACGTCACTATGTCATAATTTTATCCCGGCTCAAGTTTTAGTGTTCCGTGGTCTGACTTTTTTTGGTCTGACGTCTCCTGGTCTGACGTCTGTTGGCCTGACGTCTCCTGCTTGAATTTCGTAGTTCAATTTGCCCAGTAGTTCATCGACCACGATGATAATAGACCTTTCTATCTGTATGGTACGTAGCCCTGTGCCTAATATATAGGAAAAAGATACTTCTGGATACTCGTGGCAAAACAGAATATTGGTCGTAAATGAGCGTCTAGGTATAAACATGCATCCATAAAGCCAGTAGCTTAGTTTATAGTATGCTGACATTATTTCATCAGTAAAACAAAAATTAGATGGATATTACATTTATTGTATAGCAAATCCATAAAAGAACTATCTCCCCGGCGGGGAATCGAACCCCGGTCTCCCGCGTGACAGGCGGGGATACTCACCACTATACTACCGAGGAATCTGACTAACCGCGTTGCAATAAGCTTAATTATAAAACACAAATGCTAAAAAATAATTTTAATTGGCAACAAATACATTTTGAATTTGTTTTTATTTATATACAAGAGTTCTATTCTTGTACAGCCACTGACACGCTTAGCGTTTCGGGCAAGTTCTTAATCCTAATTTTCCCCGGAATACAACCCGCCCCCAAATTGTTTAACAACGGTTTACATATACACTATTCTCCTAATGTATGACCTATTCTCCTAAGCTCATGAACTAGCCAAAAAATCTACCTTCAAAGACGTTGATTGTAACCTTGGAATTGTCTATAAGCAATAACACTGAAGAACTTCAATAGCAACTGAAGCACATTTTTAAAAGTAGAGGAAAATAAGAAAAAATAATGTACAAAGTTTTATGGTATATAGGAAAAGCAGTATTGTGTTTAGTAACAATATATTTATTGTGTATCTCATACACAGGATTTTAGCTAAAGCAAATAAAAATAGTTTGCGATGGCCGGGAATCGAACCCGGGTCAACTGCTTGGAAGGCAGCTATGCTCACCACTATACCACCATCGCCTGTTGCCGGGTGTTGTACACACATTATTCATCTCAGTTTATTCACTCACATTGCTATATAATAATTCAAGTATGCATAAGAATATAATAATTACCAGAAAAGGTAAATGAACGTATCCCGTGTATGACGTCATCGATGACGACGACGCAATTCAAGTATACTTAAGAATAAAATAATTACTAAATAATGAACCTATCCCGTGTATGACGTCATCGATGGCGTATTCGTTGGGATCGTTCCGGGTTATACAAAAATATACAACGTGTCGTTGACGTGAAATTTTCGAAGAGCAAAATGCAAATGTTGTTTTGTGTGGCACCCTTATGGGCGGGGCTTGCTACCTCACCTGCCCCGGGGGGAGGGGGCCCATGAAATCACTTTTGGGTCTTTGTTTGGAGGCCGGGTTGCAGCCTGTTCTCCAAACAAGGACACAAAGTCCGTATTCCATGCACCCGCCAAACCCCCTGTTTATGAATGGACAACCGTCAACCCGTCCTAGACTCACAACTGATTTCGTTCGAACACTTCCGGAACAAGTGCTTCACTGACGACTTTTGTTCGAACCACAATGCTGTAAATGCTTCACCCACGTACTACAAATACAAATAATCGCCAACAGAACCTAACCACCTAACCTGACCTATGACTAAATATGCACAATATGAAAATATATAATAATATTAATTTATATTTGAGAAAAGTTCCGTTTTGAATGAACAGAATGTTAAAATTGATGAATACGTCCTTGGGGCCCACTGGATGGAATGGATTTGGTCTGAGGACGGGCTGTTCCCTCACAGACTAGAATGATCCGTATTTTGTACACAAACATTGTAATCCCGATATGGTACCTTATTTTAATAATGGGCTGAAATTTGGGCTGTATGTTTTATGAGGACAGATTGCTTGAGACACCACAAGTTGTTGACGAAGAGCTGGACACCGCAGAGATGCTCGACTCTCCGAGCATGAACCAGTCAGTCCCCAGGTTCGTGGTCACTAACAACAACGTCCCCAAGTGGCCAACACCGGCAGTACTTATAACCTGTTGACTGGATGCTCGCGTTACCTCACACAGCCGTCAGCATGGCTGCTACCTACTGGGTCTTTCCTCAACTGCTGATATGGCTCCTGGCTCTAGTCCAAGTCTGTCCAGGGTGGGTTATTATTATCTTTGTTATGCAGAATTATTACTCGTTTATACGTTTTGGTGCAAGTTTTTTGAGTTGTTTTGCGCTTTCTCGATGATAGTAAGGACGGAAAGGTCCAGTAGCGCAGTTGTCAGCTGATTCTGACCATAACAAAGTTCTCGGGTTAGATTCTCACGGGAGAATAAATTTATGGACACGTTTCTTTAAACCTGATGCCTCTGTCTGCCCTGCAGTAATTACGTGCCCGGAAAGTTGGTCACTGTTATGGGTGCATCCTTGGGAAGGTTTGTAGATTGCCAGGTAATGGCTTCCTGTCTTTACGATGGCGACAGGAAACAGATCTACTTTCTTGAAATTAGGCAATTAAGGAAACTGGAAACAGGCCCGATAGAAAAGGTCTTCCGGACGGAAGGTTTTAAGTTACTCCTGGATAAGGTAGACTAGCTTGGTGAAACAAGAACTAGCTGCAAAAAGTCGAATATCTTTCTCCTAGCTAGTTGGTATATAAATTTGATAATTGTTGAATGTGAATTAAGGCTCGTGCTCTGATAGTAAACATTGGTTTACTGAGAATTATATGAACTATACGTAATGTAGCATTTTCCTTGTAAATTTATACATATGATCTTTATAGTGTATATTTGAGAAGGGGAAAAAACTGCCATTACTGAGCATGAAAATGATACATAATGGCTTAACTAGTGAGCCTTGTGGTAATCACTCCACCTACAATATTGTCTTAAAGAAAGTTGTGTAATCTCACTTGGAATGTGAGAACCGTGTGTAGGCGGCTCTGAGCTAATGACGCATGCTGGTGCTGTGAACACAGCCCGTTGTCCTAAGGTTTCCCAACGTCAAAAAAAACGCTAAATATAAAAGTCCTCTCCTACCCAACCAGAGGACCCAAAACGGAAAACGATACAATGTCACTTTCGCGAGACCCTTCCATTTTCTAATACGAAAATATTTGGACTAGAGTAACGCATACGAGAGAACAGCTACATTCTTTGAGGACAAGTTGTCAATGATGCAGTGCACCTGAATGAACGACTCGCAACCCAAACTCTAGTTGTATAACTTTTTCAAACACTTGACAACGTTAGCATTTTAATGTTAAAAATTGCTAAAATGTGAAGATAAAGATGTATGAACAACAGGAGGAAGTAGTTGGATATCTTTTAGCTTTTTCCACTACTACTACCCGGCTTGGTCTTCAATTGATACTTCTTGTACTGCTGTTATCTTGTTGCTGCCTCGCCCCCACATGCTTAACACGGCTACCTTCCTCAGAGGCTACGTGGTGACGGCGCCGCAGCGATGGTCTGGCGGGCTGGGCCAGGTGTGTGTGGTGGTCACAGACCCAGTGGCACCGTTTGGCCGCCTCTCCCTCACACTGACGGCTCCTGACCCAAACACCTCTCGTAACATCACGCTCAATAACCCTACCACAATAGACATCCCTCCAGGTTTGTTACACATACTAGGAGAGTACAATATTTATCATGGAATAAACCCGATTGGTTTTTCTTAAGCATGGTAGCATGTTACCGTTATGGATTAATTTTGTCAGGGAGGTGGTCGACTTGTGTGAATGTGAGCGTGAAGGCTGATGGTGCGTCCAACACAGGAGAGCTGATGGTAGAGGGGCAGATTAGTGGGGCGAGAGTGAAGCACGCCGCCTCCGTCACTTTCACCTCCACCCGCTACGTCACCTTCATACAGACGGACAAGTACCTCTACCAGCCTGGTGACACCGTCCGCTTCAGGATACTTACCGTCTTCGGTCCCTTCTTCAAGGTGTCGACACAGTGGGTGGGTAGAGTGCTACAGTGTCGGCCAGGCGGGGGGGCGGGCTGGCTGGCGGGTGATGGAGCAGAGCACAAAGTTAGGTGACGGGGAGTAAACTTTAACAACTCTAGCAGTTGCATATACAGTACAACGGTACATTGCTTTAAAATACTATAGTTTGGTAGAGTACTGCGAAGTAGGTTAAATAATTTTGATGCTTGGTTTATTTTATACTAAATTTTATTGTTTCCTTAAGAGATTAAGCATGCAGTTAGACATTGCAAACGCTTATTGAAGGTTATGTCGTAAATATAAAGAACTTAAAATTAATATAATTAAACGCATTTTACTTTAATTTCCTTGTCATCTCCTTGATATTGTATATACCAGTGGCTACTAATATAATTAGTGAGGTTGTTGCTCTGCTCCTGAGGACTAATTGGTTTGTCTAGTACCCGGTGGTGTGGCTGGAGGCGCCGTCTGGGACCCGTGTGGCGCAGTGGACACGTGTTGACAACACGGGCGGCCTCGTCCACTTGGTCTTCACCCTCGCTGACGAGCCCCAGCAGGTAAGCAGTCATTACATCAACTAAGATTGTATTCTTTCCGGACTACATCTGTTTACAATGCCGCATATGGCGAGACTCCTCGCAGAAGATGGCCGCCTCTCTGGTGTTCAGGAGGCAGTGATCTCCTGCGTCGTGTGGTTCTCTTGCACAGAACATGGACCCATTGAATGTCTTCATTGTAGTTGCTAATTTGATTAGCACACGCTTCAGTTACTGGATAATCAGTGCCCCAATCTCTTATAGAAGGTTTCGCTGAAACTTAGAATCGTGAAAGTTATTAAATAAAACGGCACAAATGCCAAATACACGGTCTTTAAATTGGCATCATGCAAAGCTAATTTGAATAGAGGGATAAGAGTCAAACTCGATTATAGGGCTCCCGAAGGAGCAGCCTGGCTAAAGACTTCATGGCCACACAATTACTGCACTCTATACAGCTCATAGCACTGCAATAATACAACCCGTGGAGCCGGGTTAATGATGGGTCTACATATGACATGCGAAATTGATAAGACGCCATGCCACTTGGCCATATTTACAAGAAAGTTCTATTGTGTACTGTAGATACATCTATACACGTTGCTACAACACGCAAGTCAGGTGTGTTGCTTTTAGATTCAGCTACTCTGAACAAAAAGTTGAAAGTAGCACGGTAGTGGACATGCCTCCCACAGGCGTGGCGCTCTTACTGGGTCAGGTGTAATGTCCACCTCCACTCCAGCGAATCCCTCGTCCTCTTGTCCTTAATCGAATCGGTTTCGGGTGTTCCATTGGGGATAACAGATAATCTTAAACATAGGAAAGGGAATAACATTTGTAATGGCTGTTCTAGAGATTAAGTTTAATCTGAAATTTTTTACAAATTTGTAATTTTTTCTTAAATGTTAAAACATTGCATACAATAATTGCATGGAAATGGTTTAAAATGCTTCTGGGTTCCTGGTATTTAAAACTAATAATTAAGTCTTGTCTACAGGGGCTGTACACTATATTTGTCAAGACAGAGGAAGCACAAGCACAGACAAACTTCATGGTAGAGAAGTATGTCCTGCCTCGCTTTGAGGTGACGGTGACGCCGCCCCGGTACCTGCTGGCCTCCGACGCCAGCCTCGCCCTCACTGTCTGCGCCAGGTACTGTCACTATGTATTTGTTACTGTCACTGTTACCGCCCAGTAACTGATCTGAAAGTTTTCAATGTCTAATATTTACCAATCCTCACAATCATCCTTTCATGTTGAGTATTTCTTGATCAAAATATAGGCTAGCTAAGGCACTTGGCCACAAAATGATTAACTTAGATTTGAGTGTCCAAGTGTCCAGCAGTCTTAGTGCCAACGTTAATTCCACACTTCAGAAGATGGTTATATTTTAGTAATACTAAATCGGACACTTTTCTGTCTTTACAACTTTGAATATTTTGAGAACAAGGTTTATCAGGCCTTTGGGCAATAAATCCTACAAAAGTTCTCCATTATTTAAAAGTAGATCTAGTTTAAAAAAAAGTGAGTGAGGATGTTGTTGGGTCAGGTACACCTTCGGGCAGCCTGTGCGGGGCGGCCTCAGGCTGGAGGTGACCAACGGGCTCTCCAGGAAGTGTCGGGCCAGCCTCGTCAAGACGGCTCCAGTGAGTACTACTCTAATACCCACAAACTGTCAAAAATTATAAACTCTTGATGCTTAAAATGCATTAACGTCGTAAAAAGTAGAAATTTTGCAATGGCTTCATTCCTAATGTTTCAAATTGTCCTACTCAAAACTTGGTAAGGTGTTGCCAGATACTTTAAATTTTGTCGCGCTGTAAATAAGAACTTTTATTGTGTAGAGCTCAACTGAGCCTCTAGATGATTACCTGAAGCTATTTTGCTTACATTGCTCTAAGCTAATGGTCACATTAGTGACGGTTTTTTTCCCCTACCAGAGACCCAAGTGGGACCCTGGCCCTTCACATGGTAGATAAATATACTCCGTTAGCGTACGACCAGTGCTAAAAAGGGAGCACGGGTGGAAACTTGGTACCCAAATGGGCCACAGGGACGTTAACAATTTGAGTAGTTGACAAATGACATGCATTAGGACGTGATGTGGGGCGGCACACTCTCTACCGTTTCAAGTGTAGATATGATAGAGCCAATAGGTTCAGGAACTTCTACACCAGTTGAATGACAATTGGAAAAGCGGGACCAAAGAGCCGAAGTGGGGGGGCCCCCCCCCGCAAGCAGAACTAGGCGCGTACAGATGCGCAGGGAGGGACTGATAATTCGCCTAGCCAACTATGACCCACCAGTATGTTAAAATTGATGAATGCGTCTGGGAGGACAGCCGCGTGTTTAAACAGCCTAGTGTGAGGACGGGTTGCAACTTGTGTAAAGCTTTGCCGACTTTCTCGATGCCTTTCCGGTTGGGTGGTAAATTCACTCTGCACCGCTGAAGCGGGCCAGGTTCTGGCTCAGATCCTCGGTAGGCCAAACAGAACTTGTGGCTGATGTGACCCGTTAGCTCGGAGCAAGATGGCTTTAGGAAGGCAATGGGGCTCTACCACAAAGATGTATAGTTACTTTGCTGATTTTTTTTTTCTGAAGCTACTTCAATCGTATTGAACAAGCTTCAGACTTAATGAAGTGTGTGACTGTTCAGATACAAGGGTGCAGAGAGGTGGTGGTGAAGGCAGAGGAGCTGCTGCTGGAGGAGTGTGGAGCGTATAGTGTGACGGGGGAGGCGACGGTGACGGAGGCCGGGACGGAGGTGACGGCGGTGGGCACCACCACTCTTGCCGTCTCGCGGTCACCAGTCGTCTTCACTACACGCTACAAAGACCAGTATATGAAGCCAAATCTTCCCTTCACTGTCCAGGTGAGGCTGTTGAACCCACTTGCATTTCTTCTTATAACTTGTTAGAGCGCGAAGTTTACCAATCGGGTTACCCCTGAGTAAACCTTGACTAACAGTGGTACCAATGCACATCCCTGTAACACAGTACTTGATAGCTAGTCCAACCACTTGGCCTGGACGATAGAGCCGTCCTGGACCTAAAGTAGATTGTCGACTTGAGAATGGTCCAGGACGGACCGAAACATCGTCCCTTCACCTTCTAGTGTGTGGTCTGGTCAACATACTTTAGCCACGTTATTGTGACTCATCGCCTGCGTCGTAGGCCTGGCTTGTAGATTTAAAAGTTTTGGGATTTGCAGGCGTGAATTATTTTGAAGTTAGTCGTGGAGTATGACCAGGCCTTTGAGGACGGAGTAGCCCTTAGCACAAGTCTGAGCCCTTGTAGGGTAAGGTCGTGTTATAACGTTCACTGGGTTATGTGGACTGTGCATTGAAAATGATTAAGTGAGAAGTACGAGATGAAGTCGGTCTTTTGTCATCCAGGCTGATACTGATTGAAAACGGTGCTAGGCAGAATCCCGTTGCTTCAGGTTTTCGGTTGAATTTACGACCTAGACTCCCGGTTTGGTGCTTTCTTTTGATAATTACTTGCTTACGACCTCGACTATGAGTTGCCAAACTTGTATCGCGCAGATTATCACAGATGTCACTGGCGATGTCACTCAAAGCAATATTTATGCATCACTGATGTCACGGGTGGCATTGGTGATTTTTGCCGTTACTGGTATGCTTTCATGAGAACGGCTAAGTGGGGTCTGCTACAGCCTGTTGTCAATGAATATGCACTGGCAACTCTACAGAAGAGTAGACAGCGGTGGCACCATGTAGCTTCGGCCGGGAGCTAGTTAATCCGTAGACTTAGGAAATCATACTAAGTTGCCACCAGTGTTAATCCTTGCTACTGGCCCGCGTGTGTAACAAAGGCCCTCGCTGATCTGATCTATGGTCATCGGCCCACCTCTGAAAACGACAGTACTATTGGTGGGATAAAGAAATTAACAGATTCGGGTTATTTGTAAGTACTAAAAACCCTGTCTGTAAAATTAAACTAATCTAGGATTCCAACTTGATAATGACTATCACTGACCTGGCGACAGGTGGCAGCAGAGTTGCCTGACGGGACGCCGGCTGCAGGAGTGAAGGTGGAGGCGTGTGCTGCCGGAGTGTGCACTAACTTGTCCGCGGCCCTGGATGGCTCCATCACACTCGTTCTGCCATCATACAAGGCTAACAGGATCTTTGTAAGTACTCTCAACATATTTTAAGCAAACATTGACACGGGCAAGTTAATTGCATAAACATTAACTGGTTAGGTCACTAATAGTTGCAGACTCCTGCCTACATGAGCAGATAGACTATAACACATGGTAAACTAAACGCAAAAGTATAGTCTGCTAAAAAAAAAAAAAAAAAAAAAAAAAAAATCTAGAAACTAAATTTAATATTCTGCACGCTAGTAATTGTTAACAAAGATTTAAATGTTTTCGTGGTTCTATATGAAAATGGGAGTAAAGTTGTATATATAAATTAAAGAAACTGTATATGCGATAAATGTCTGGCCATAAAATCTGTAGTTCGCTGGTTAAAAGCTTGCTTGGTCTGGGTGTTCCAAGCTTCAGTGATCTCGGCAGTTGCTGGAGATTGGTTAAAAAAAATAGTTTACTTGCAGATTATCTTTTACTGGTTCTATGCAGGCAATGAGTCACAATAACGTGGCTGAAGAATGTTGACCAGACCACACACTAGAAGGTGAAGGGACGACGACGTTTCGGTCCGTCCTGGACCATTCTCAAGTAGATTGTCGAAACGTTGTCGTCCCTTAACCTTCTAGTGTGGTCTGGTCAACAATTTACTTTTTTTCATCATAATATTTTCAACTTGCAGATGAAGACGTTAATGTGCAGTGCCAGGACAGACTCTTCAGAGTACTGGGTGGACATAGCGCACTACGTGTCTCCCTCCAACTCCTCCCTACTGATACACGCCCCTGGCGGCCGTCTCCGCTGCCTCTCCGGCTCCAGCCTTACACACCATCTCCCCGTCATGTTCTCTGCCACTAACCTCACCCGCGCCTTCATTAATGTTCAGGTACCTTGACCAATCCTTCCTCGTCAGTCTCCACTTACGGGTTGTACTGAGCCATCCGTGGTAACGCTGACCTTCCTTCCAGGTCGTATCCCGCGGCCGGATACAGTACTGGAAGACGGAAGAGTACGCTCTAGTGCCAGGTGTCCTGCCCATCAGTGTGGCGCACCTGGTGGGCCCTCTGCTGCCCTCTCCCCCGCACACTGTGAGGGGGCTGCTACACCTGCCCATCACACTCCCCTATACCGCCTCGCCTAGAGTCAGTGTAAGTTCTTGGAAATATCACAAGGTTAAAATTTTGCTTTAAATATGTACCTTCCTGGAGTAACTAATCTTTTTATAACAAACGTGATTCAAAAAGAGGCTCGAAACACACTATACAAGGCACTTTACATGTACGGCGAGTCGGTTACTAATCTTGCTCCACACCCACCCAACTTGGCGGCAGCTTAAAGCAGCTAAAGTCATGTGCAGGCTACACTTAACACGTGTATAAAACTACAGCAAGAAGATGCATTTAAAATAGTACAGATAGTCTAGTCACTTGAACACGATCTACACATAATAAATTTAAATCCACTGTTGTCCTTGCAATCGAACTGGTTCTGTGGTGATGGCTGACATCAGGGGAGGGGGAGTGCTCGAATACCACGGGTACCGGCTGGGGGAGAAGGATCTTAGTCGAACGGGAGTTTGTACTCTCATTAGGACAAGTGCAGTTTTTGTAGATATTCTCACTGGTCCCCCACGAATATTGCAGTCATGTGAACCAAACTTTCTGGCTCTCATAGAGCACAGTTCTCGGTAATTTGGAGAGAGTAACGTTTAGTGAGAAGTGTGGCGAGTACATGGTGCGTTACACACAAATCGCAATAGCGTGATGCATCAATGAACAAATCCACAAGGGCCATGACGAGGATTCGAACCTACGTCAGAGATCACAGACGATGCCTTAATCGACTGAGTTACGACATGGTAAAAAGAGTTGAAACCAGAAGTTCTACAGTGTGTGTGTGTGTTGCAGGTGTTGGTGTGGTACCGGAGGGAGGACGGGGAGGTGGTGGCGGACACCAGGCAGCTGGAGGTGGACAAGTGCCTTGCGAGCGGTGTCAACCTCGCCTGGTCGTCGGCTACGGCACAGCCACGAGACACCACCACACTCGCCATCTCCTCGGCTCCACTCTCTCTCTGTAGCGTCGGTCAGTCACTTGTCAAGCAAAGATTGTGTTAATTTGTTTTTCTATAGATTTTTAATGGCAGCAGCGCTGCATTCAGAAACTTCCACGAGCTACATAAAACGTCCACCTAAAACTATCCCCACGCTGCTCATTAGCACTATATCTATGTGAAACTACTGCTTACTTTATAGGGACTAGTTTATTTAGCCAGCACCTCCTTACTATAGGTTACTAGTTAGTACGTTAACATTACGTTGTACGTTAACAGTACGTTGTGCGCATGCCACTGTCTGATATATTAGCTCGTTAACTGCTGGCTATATAAAGCTGGCCGGACGGCCCTATGTCCTTAGTAAAGTAAAACTTGGATAGTGATACAACATTTATAATGGCTTTAAGGCACTTTTGTAAGCTATTTTAAAGTTCGACATTGTTTGAAATCTACCGAGGGGAAAAATACTGAACCAAATAGTGATCTACCAAACAGGTGTTGTGGACAGAAGCACGGAGCTGCTGGACAAAAGGGATGATACCATCACCGTGGACAAAATATTTGAGCTCGTAAATGACTACGAAGCCTATCCGTGGGTCATCGGTCAAGATGACTGTATAAAACAAGGGGACATAAACACAGGTTGGTTAAAGACAGTTCAGTATTGATACTAAAATTTGATTTGCACATCTTTGTTGGCTAAGTTTCGTAAATGTTCTTAAAAGGTTCTAATGTAAACTGTAGCTCTAGGTAAACATTAATGCAGTTAATTTTAAGTAAAGTTACATGTGAATCACTGTTGCAGGTGCAAGGTTGAAACGGATAATCCCGAATTCTATTAGATTTCCCATCTGGCCCTTCCCAAGAGCCAGCAAGTATGTTGACGCCCTCCAGATGTTCCAGGTGAGTAGAGTGGTATGGGAGTAGCATGTTAAGGTGACCCACGTACGTCAGTTAAGTGGGCATGAGACGCCATCTTCGGTACCCAAAGTTAGCAATACTAATAATGCTATTTTTTCAGATTGCTGGATTGCATGTCTTCTCAGATCTGAAGCTGGTAGCCAGGCCCTGCGAATACCAAGGTAAAACTGTTAATTATATTTTTAGTCAAAAGTGGAATCAAATAACCCACACGTGTTAATGAACACTGATTCAAAAATAAATTTTCTGGCGACACACTCCAGATATACTCTGTAACCTATTACTTTTAACTTGCCAGCCTTTGGCACAATATACCGTTGCTCGATTCAGTCTAATTTAGTTTTTTCAGCCGAATATCCGCAAGATCAACGGTTTGTGATGAACTAATGTATCTAGAAGTACTTGACTAGTAAAAAAAATACTAGGTAGCGAATTCTGTGAATGTGCCCCTTCGTTTTTTAATAATGTATTAGACGATTTCTAATGTCCGTTTGACTTTAATGCCAATGAAGAAATGGCTCTGAATCGGATGTGCCAACTGAGAGGCTTGTGTAGGGAACCATTTTTAAATATTTTACTACTAAATAACACGTTTGCATGCCAGGTAGTGTATACGCACACATTTGAATGTGAATTATGGAAGTCACACCAAAGATCTCTTGGCGTAGCATTGGTAAGCAAAAGTGTAATCACATTTTACATTAATTTAAAGTTTACCAATGCCAGTATTAAATAATATAAAGTTGACTGCCATATAGTCAACTTTTTATGAATCTTTATTAAAAAAAAAATCCCCTGCCCTTGCAATACAAGGTTGACTAAACCCTGGTAAGGTTTGTGATCGCAGGACACTTTACATAAAGGGACATTATGTCCAATGAGTAAGTCCTAAAATTATGGTACTTGGACACCACTAGGTTGAATGTTCAAAAACTGTACTGTAACAGCAAACTGTTTACATTTTTCTATTTTGTAGAGGGGGGGGTTGAAAGGTAACGACCTTGCTTGACCATAGTTGGCCTAGTATAGCACAATCAAAAATTTAATTTATTATATTTGACTTGAGAGAGCCTCTTTGGCCATGGATTGTTAGGACAAATTAGGTTAAGTTTTCCCATTTTCTTGGAATACCATTTGGGCTAATTCAGAAATGGCAAGCGTGAACTTCTTTGGGTAAAGATAGCAGGATATTGGTGTACTTTTACATTCGTGCTGCCTTTGCTGCAAAAGACCAATGTTCTTAAACGGCTGTTCCGACGTCACCGTTCCTTTGTCATTGGTTGACTCCCGTGCTCGTATGGCGTTATTACCAGTTCACCCTTTACACCTACCCTCTGGTACGTATCCAGTATTGGCAGTTTTACATTTAGTACACTTGCGATAGTAGTTTTGCTGGGTTTCATATTAAAGTTTCCTTGAGTGAACGTGCAGACACTGCCGCTGAGAAGGCCATACGCAGTTATATTTCTCCCCCAAAAGAAATTCCTTTTTAGAATTCTACCCAGTCAATCATTCATCAGTCTACGACCATTCAGTCATTTGTCTAGCCTTATAGGTAAGGCACTGGCACCACGCGTCCAACTCTTGAGCATTTAAAAGTTTTCCTGTTCTCTGTGTGTGTGTGTGTGTGTGATAAATATCCTTGAATCTAATAACTGTTGCTCGCTTTGTAGTTTTGTTCTCGTATTGACATCTTAAATGTGGTATTTAGCGTCTTTGGACCATTCGGCGACACTGACGGTGTTACATAGTCTTCCTTTCTTGGTGCCTTTTTGTAATTACGTGCTAGTTATTTTTCATTATATTACCCAAACTTTACCTTTTCTTTCCCCCTAGTTACTTTTTATCTTGGTATTCAAAATACTTGACGGTACTTGCCACTTCAGACGCCCACCTGTCATTGTTCTGCCAGACGGTGCAACTTCAGCTTGCCATTACTAAACAAACGCCTTGTAAAACTTCTAATCTAGAATTATACGTTCTCATTGAATATCGCTATTAAATTTTAAAGGGTACTAAATTTCGTCTTGGAGGGAATTTCAGATGGTTTAAAACAGAAGTTTTTAAGTATTGGCCGGCTGTAATGTGTAATTCTTCCGAAACTCTTATCTTGACAGACGATTACATAATCCCGTTTTATGATGGAGTCGCTAGGCTTGGAGGTGGCGGTGGTGCAGCGCCGGCCGCCCCCAGGACCCACTTCCCAGAGACGTGGCTCTTTGACATCTTCCTTCTCCCGTAATTTCCTTCAATGTTTTGAATTTAATGACACTATTTGCTGATCAAATTAAGTAGAGCCATATGACTGCATTTATCTAAATCTTAAATTTTGACTTTTAAATCTTAGATTACGAATATGTTTATTAGATATTGTGAACTCGGTATATTGTACAAAAAAAAAAATAAATGTATGACTAGTTGACGCAAAATTTTTAGTGTTCACTTGTACGTAGTTATAGAAAGTTTTTAATGTACTTCTTTGGTGGTTGTCAGGTCCTCTGGTAAGAGGGTGAAGGTGCTGGAGGTCCCGGACACCATCACACAGTGGGTGGGGAAGGCTGTGTGCGTCACCCCGGGGATGGACGTCGGACTCTCCCTACCAGCCAACCTTACGACAATTATGCCTTTCTTCTTAGACTTGACCATCCCGCCCTCCGTCAAGCGTGGCGAGGTCCTCCCTGTAAAGATCTCCGTTTTCAATTACCTAAACAGAGCATTACCGGTAAGTCTTACCTAATTTAGCCCGAGGTATGTTATTTAATAATTTTGTCGATTGTAGTGCAAACTCAAATGACTTTGAATTAATAAGCAATTTGGACAGGGTTTGTACAGAGTAACGAAGTCACGACCGAAGTGCTCTATGGTTGGAAGATCGTCTGACAGAAGGCTGCTACATGGGAGAGTCGCATTTGTATGGTTTATGTATTGGTCAACAGAATTTGCATTAATCAATGAAATTTAAGTTTCATGCCCTAATCCATTGTAACAGTCATTGAGACCCTGTCGAGCAGGAGGTTTAATGTAGACAGACAATTTAGTGCTAGTTGAATAGTAAATATATCTACTGATAATAATGACGGGTTGAAATTGTCGGTAATTATGGCGGTTACCTGTATGCCTACGTGCAGGGAGGGAGCAGACTACTTGCTGTGATGTGGACCTTTAGTCAGTTCTGTGTTGAATGAATCTTTCATGCGAGTAGTAAAGACTGTCAATTTAAATTGCATAGATGATTGTGTATAGGTGGTAAAATTTACCACACTCCCTTCAGCGAGGGCGGTGGCTCTGTGTATCTGTTAAAGCTAGACTGAAGTTAGGAGGCTGGATTTGGCAAGTTGTGGGAAAGAGACGAAAGGCTGAGTAAACCCATGGTGTTGCATACACGCCAAAACCAGCACAATGCTGTAGCTTTCAAATTCCTTTGATAATTCTAACAATGGAGGGGTACCTTTTTAACAGGCTGCCTGTCCCCGACGAGGCCACTGGATATGTTGCCCTTATGGTAAACGTGGATGGTAATAGATGTGGTATTGTCTTGGGTTTTACCCTTGAGGTCGGTATGAACACTTGCATATAAGAAACCTTGACTAAAACTGGGTGAGAAGTACGAGAGAACTTTTATCTAGAGATTATATAGCGAGAGTATATAAACACGCATTGATCAAATTGATCTATTGGTAGACAGCTGTGAAAATACGCAGAGGTGGAGCTCACTTTTCCAGTGTACATACCGAGGATACTATAGTCTTGGACTGTGTACCGATCAACCAGCAGCTAGACTTTAATCGTGAAATATCGTGATGACTAATTACCCTTCCGCGCTTGACTTACCTTAACAAAAGCTAGTCCATCTTTACACACAACGGTTGAATAGATGAATTACGACTTGCAGGTGCGGGTAAGGATGGAGGAGAGTAGAGAATACCAAGTAGTGGGTGGCGGCGTCCAGGAGGGCGTGTGTGTGGCCGCCCAGGACATGGCCGTCGTCACCATCAGGCTCAACATGCTTGCCCTCGGTGACGTCAAAATAAACGTGTCCGCACACGTAGACAACACTATTCCTGGTTCCTGTGGCTCCAGGGATACGCCCATAAAAAGGTTTGTGCTTAAATGTTAGAAGGTAAACAAAGTTAACCGGTCAATTTTAATACCATGCTAATGTTTTAACGTTTTCAGTGATGCAGTAGTGAAGGCCATCAAGGTGGACGCTGAAGGCTTCCCCAGAGAGAAGACTTGGACATCTTACCTGTGTTCTCAAGGCAAGAATTGCCTAACAATTTGTCTTGTAAATTGGCTTGAGTAACTTTAACATTATATATTCGTTCTGGTGAATTGACGTTCGTCCAGTTTAAGAGCTGTTGTAAAGTGGCAGTTGTCAGTCATGTCACTGTTTTTGTTTAAGAATTTATCTAGTGTGCGCAAAATGACTTAGATTGTAGGCATTTTTAAACACGATTATAAATATAAAGTGATTAGTTAAAAGAATGACAGAATTGGTGAGAACTTCTTGATAGCGAACCCAGAGGTGCCTGGGTAGTGATTGCTAATATGACGACGGTATTTATCGAAGATGGTTGATGATTGCGTGTTGTGAAGATGTGGTCTCCATCACCCGAGCAACGCCGTGTAGCTCTTCCAATAAAGTGTAAAAATTGACTTCTTGACAGGTAACAGTAGCGGGCGGCGGGAGGTGGCGTGGACGGTGGGTGCAGCAGAGGCGGCGGTGGTGGACGGGTCTGCCAGAGCCTGGGTCACCATCGGGGGCCTCCTCGTCCTCTCGCTCCAGGCAAGCCTCTTATTCATGCTCTAATTACTTAACCAATCTCGCAAACAAATGCGAGATTTTTTATATAATTATAATGCTTGTAACTAAAATTAATACCTGCCATGAAAGCCAGATTTAAAATGCTAAAGATGAGCTATGGAAGGAACCCCCCCCCCTGGCTCTCGAAGGTGTTGCCTTGACAATTTGAGGGGCTCTTTTGCGCCACCGTTGGTATAGTGTGTGGACGAGGTCTTCTCGCTACTGAGTTTTCTTGCACATTTCCTTTTTGTAATTCACTGCCACTGAACAAAAGAACTGTTATCCAGGCCTGTGAAAGTTTGTGACTACATGACCTACCATAGATGAAAAAGATTGTTCTTGAGGTAAGAGGTGGCAGTAAACCAGTAGGCCATGGAAGGGTTCGAAATTAAAAGAGAAGAGGCATATCTTGGATCTGGACAAGAGGGGGGGGGGGGTGGTTGTTGGCCCGGACGGAATTTCCCCATGGGTACCGAAAGTGCGCAGGAGTACTTTGCTTGCCACACTTTTGTGCATTGCTTCGAAAAAGGCTTGGTAATGTTCATAGTTATAGATGAATATTAATGAATAAAAGTGAGAACCGTTCCAGAACCTGGGTAACCTGGTCCGCCAGCCGTCTGGGTGCGGGGAACAGAATATGGTCAACTTTGCTCCCAACATCTTCATTCTCCAGTACCTTAAGGCCACCGGGCAGGACACGCCAGAGGTCACGGACAGACTTGTAAGATTTATGACTACAGGTAAGAGACTAGTGGCTCGGGTGTAAGAGGGAGAATGGTGGCGCTCGTGTCGTGTAGAGACTTGTGCCCAAGCGTTCAAGTTTTTGTTCGTAAAAATGGCTTAATAATAATTTTTAAACTAATATATGAATTGTTTTAGGTTAGAACTTGCTTGAGTAAAGGCATATTTGGTAGTGACGTATTAAACGTGTGGTTGACGTGTAGGTTACCAGCGGGAGTTGTTGTACCTGCGTGACGACGGCTCCTTCAGCGTCTTCGGCAGAGCTGACGAGTCCGGCTCCACCTGGCTCACGGCTTTTGTGCTAAAGTCCTTCGCTCTGGCTAGACCCTTCATACTGGTCAGTGAGAACCTTACACAATGAACTATTTTTAAACAAAGTTGCCATGACCAAGTATAATGCGTTAATCATTATTAATAATGTCAATATTGAATGTTATCCAGTACACAATAGGGGGAGGGGGGTGTAATTTATCTTACACTGGATGAGAGGTACCCGGCAACGCCCGAGTCTCTCCTCCTTCCATGAAATACTGTATAACAAATTTACAGTTGAGACACTAAAGGTAATTTTAAAGACTGTGGGCATAACCAAACTGTTGTGTAAGATGCTGTACCAAGATGCTACAGACTTTAAATGAACCCTGTAATGGTAGTACAGTGATAATGTTACAGGTGGACGAGAAGGTCTTGAACAAGTCTCGCTCGTGGCTTGGGCGCGCGCAGGGTCCTGACGGCTGCTTCGTCCCTCTCGGCATGGTCATTCATAAGGAAATGAAGGCATGTAAAATTATAGTTCTTATTAATGGTCAAATTTAATTTAAAACTTTACAGTTGGTAATGGTTTGTAAAATGTTTCCATGGTAGGGAGGTATTGGTGGAAAAAACTCTTCTGTTCCTCTGACGGCGTATGTAATGATATCCCTGCTGGAGGCCGGCGAGGACCTCCACAGCCCGACTGTCTTGTCTGCTGCCGGGTGCTTGGCTGGCGACTCCTCTCTCTCGCCCTACACTCTAGCACTCAAGGCCTACGCTCTGACCTTGGCCCGCTTGCCTGCTGCACAGACTGCACTGCAAGAGATCCTCGACCAAGCAGTTGTCACAAAGGATTACATCTACTGGGAGTTGCCAAGCAGTCGAGGTGTGTAGTCGATGGTACTGATGTACAAGAGCCAAAAGTTCCTGTCGTGTTTTAACGTGAAGGCTTTTATCTTTATCTTTTTTTTTCCATCCTAGGGAGGAATCTGGCGGTTGAGGTGGAGACTGCTGGTTACGTAGTCTTGAGTATGATGTCACTCTATGCAGAGTGCTTCTTTCAACACTCTACTAAAATCGTCCAATGGCTAATGGCACAGAGGAATGGACAAGGCGGATTCTTTTCTACTCAAGTAAGGTTCTATTATAGTTTCTGGAAGTCTTATTGTCGAAGGCACTAAAATTACTCGTATTCACTCCTAACTCCATCTCGACGAATTGCTCATGACCAGAGTATCTGCAGGATACAGTGGTCGCTCTACAGGCCCTTGCTAGCTACGAATCTCGCCTGCGTCCTGGCCCCGTCAGTGTGGTAGGCAGAGTGAAGGCCAACCTTCTCTCTTACGACTTCGCAGTAAACGACTCTAACCAGCTGGTGGAGCAGCGGGTGACGCTGCCCATCATCCCTACCAACGTTAGCATCACCGTAGACGGTCATGGATGTACCGTACTTCAGGTACTGAATATTTAAAATGTCAATATTTGAGGTACAATTCCCTTTAACTCTCTAACAAACTTCGACACCTGCCTTAAAGAAGGTTGGGAAGTTCTAATGTCACTACCGGGGGGGGGGGGGGAAATCGAATTTCAAATGACAATATGGGATATATAGAGCTTTTGTATTAATTTGGCAGATGTAGCTATAGACTAGACTGGCTATTATTTAGTCATTCCCCATCTCCTTTAAACATGTTAAGTGATCTCGAATTAACTTCAGATTCAAACTGATATTCCTAGAGTAAAGTAACTATATTAGACTGGTGGAGGTGGTGGTAGAGGTGTGAGCCACCAGCAGTGGCCGCTCTTCTACTGTAGTGTCCGCCGGGGTGTGCAGCTGGGGACCACCAGCCAGCCTGGCACTTGGTCATGCCAGTTTCCCCGGGTAGTTTGGTGGACAGTGTTCCTGTTCAGTTATTTAACTTTCATATAATACCTTGCATAGTGGTTATTGCTTAAATTGGATGGTGAATGGTTAGGATGCAGGAGAATATTACCCATAATCTATATCTCGCGTATGGTGACGGATACAGTTGGTTCCCTAGTTACCTTGCCTACCAGTTTCCAAAAATTCCAGGTTGGATCTGTGATCTAATTTTATTTACTGGCTTATGGCAGTTTTAGCTCCCACAAAGTTAATGGCCATTGTCTATAGTGTGATGGTTAGTTTAATGCAGATTTGGATTTGCAAGATTGCATGCATCCATAAGCACGTTGTGAAGGAGATACTCTGTGACTCGAGCAGGAGAGAAAGAGCTTTAACCAAATGTGTAAGACCATACTGTAGTAGCTCCACTTTAGAATACCGGCAGGTATTCCTGTGGCCGTGTAATAATTTCCCCGTACGAGTACACTCTTAAACCTTTTATTATACCGTTGTTTTATAGGCAGTGCTGAGGTACAATGTTGCTCACCCTGCACCTAGTGACGTCTTCAACATGACCATCGTAACCGCGGCAGACTACGCTTCTGGCTGCGTTACTCAGAACATCTCGGCCTGCGTGGCGTACGTCGCCTCAGACGCCGCCTCCGGCATGGTGGTCGTAGAGGTGAACCTCGTCTCCGGCTATGTTCCAGTCACGTCGTACTTGTCTCTCCTTAACACCGGTGTCAAGCGGTACGAGGCAGAGGGCAGTAGGGTATCCTTCTACCTTGAGCAGGTGACGGCGAGGGCGAGGTGCGTGACGGTGGTGGCGAGGCGGGAGGTGGCGGTGGGGGGCGTGAAGCCCGCCACTGTGCTTCTCTATGACTACTACAACCCACACTTCTCCCTCAGCCAGGTAAGATCACGCATATTCCCAGCTTTGAGCTGCCGGCAAGAGCAAAAATGTCTAAAATAAATTTATATTAAATATCTTTAATATAAATAGAGGTTTGGTGATGTTGTTTTGTACTCCATCACAGCCCAAAGTGTGGTCATAATGTCAAATATAGATTTATAACTTGCTATATTTCTGTACAGGATTACCGCCTGATTGCTGCCGAAGACTGCGAGTGAGGCGTTGTGCCCAACATGGTTCACTTGTCATCCAGAACGACGTTAATGTGCAGTGTGAGGCGGAGGTGCTCGCAGCCTCGCCCACGCCACACTTCTCATTATTTACATAATCTGCCTGTAACGTGATTCACTGACTGTAGCAAACGTGAGAAATATTGTATTCAGAGTTTCGAAAATCTGAGAATGGAGTAAAGTTTAGGCAGCTTTTACTAGCCAAATATTCGACGACTGCAGGCTTGTATATAATACTCTAATAATTTGCACCCGTTTGTACCACTGTTCTTCAAATAAAAATAACAAATAATATACTTTTTAAACCTTTGTGCACGGCGGCATATGGCGAGGTATTAGGGTCCTAAAGTGCGATAAATACACTCGGGATTTAAGATTTTTTTTGGGTGGTATACTGGGAAAAAATTGAAATTTTAAAATTTCAATATTTCAATAAAATAAAATTTTAGCCTCGTGTCCTATCATTGAAAACAATGATAAATGGTAAACGAACTGACTTCTCTAACACAGGCTGGTGGGGCCGGCGACACAGGCCAGTGATGCTCAAATGAATCACATTTAAGTGATGTATCGATGAGGAAAAATCGGTAGGAGCCATATGGAAGATTCGAACACTCTCGCTTGGTAGTCATAAACAAACGCCCTAGACTACTACACCACAACATGGGCAAAAGCAATGCAACTCACTGAATCCTCGAAGGTCATGAGGCTTCCATGTGGAGCACAAACGGGTTTCACGCACCGCTCTCCATGCACTCTGGCTTGTGGTCCGGTGGTCGTCTAGAGCGTTTGCTTGAGAGTACAAAGTGAGCGGGTTCGAATCCTCTTCATGACTCCTACCGATTTCTCTTTGGCCAGTACTGGAAGATCGGGCTCAGTATTTCCAACCATGTCCAGCCCAGAAGCTTCATATTTGACTACGCCAACTGACTTTTTCAGTTCCTCTTCCAGTTAACTGGCGGGGCTCGACCCTAGGCCCTCGGTGCTGGCTACGTCGTGGACCCATCTTCAGTCATCCTAAATCCTTGTCCTCATCGCTTCCAAGTGTTATACAGTTGTAGAGACTCGAGGCTTAATAGCACTTTCTCCTGATAACTACATTAAATTTTGTCATGACAACTGCCTCTCTTGTCCTCAATTTTAATGCTTGGGGGGGGGGGTTGATTCTGAGGCTGCCACCACACAACATGCAATTACCTATGGATAACCTTCCCGGTTTGGTGCCTTCTTTTGATAATTACTTACTTACTTACCTATGGATAAAAGGTGATGAAAACGGTGAAGGAAAGTGGGCAAATGTGCTTGTATGTTCACTTTTACTCAAATCATGATGATCAGGTCAAGAGGCCAGTATATTTCTGGAAACATTCAATAGGTCTTCTGATGTTGATGGTACACACTGAATTGTACTCCCAGGTACAGTAGACCAGGATGTACTAGTTCGGTGTAGCTGTGGGTGTACCTGTCGGGTATGGAGCAGGTGTGAGTACTTTACACTTGGGCAACAGGTGTGGGTGGTAATTGCTAGATACAGCTGAAGTACGGAAGAGTGATACTACAGCCTTGATCGTAATTGAAGGGGGGGATGTTGGTCGTTGGGAGGTGGAGCATGAAGTTCCTTATGGTGATATATGATGGGGGGGGGTGATGTGATATTTGAACATCCAGAGCATAGGTTCGAACTCTCACCAAGGCTCCTGTTGAGTTATTTGATTATGGTGATGATCGTTGGTGAGTAGAGTGATGGTCCTGGGGAAGGGGGGAGTCGCGTTCATATTATGTGTGAAATTCGAGAAACCTTTCAAGCTGTGGAAGACTCGTCTGTTTTGTGTGAGTACGGACAAATTATTAACAGCAGGAAATGTATTAATTTTTCAGTTCAGTGAATAAAGGCGAATATTAATTAAACTGATTTGGAAAAATATAAAGTTTTTTGAAATATTTAACCGTGTAGCTGGCGAACAAATGTCAACAATCGTCGTGGGGGTGTGAATGTGACCGTGGCACGCTGTTCCCTTTTGAATTATGGCAACTCCGACCTGCCTGTTTATCCCGTACCCCAGACCATTCACACTGCCAATTTGGGTGAGGCTCGCCCCAGTCGCGTGGTCATCTCTGAACGGATAGATTCGCTTATAGTATGGATATATTTTATCTGTTTAATTGATGTAATCAGTGACCGCAGCACAACATTGTCAATGGCAGCAGAGCTGCTCTGGTGAGGATGTTGTGTTCTATCAGTCTGTATCACCTGGTCGTGGCCACAGGTGTTCATCTGTATATGTGCGTGATATCAACACTACTGACTAGTAGTGGAGTGGAGGCGAGTGGAGCTTCCTTTTCGATCAGAGGCTGCGAGTCACGACACCAACACGACGACGACTGCTGTTAAACTCTGCAACCAAAAATAGCACGACGCTTCTCAAATCCCTGTCAGCGTGGAGGTCCTGGACGCAATCTGACACTAAACTTTCCAGCAGTTCACTCGCTACCTTAGCCTGGGTGATGAGGACCTTGTATACAGTGGAAGTGTGAAGACGCGAACCTTCATACCAGAACAAGCCCGGGCTGTCACTGTTGCATGCGTGTTGAGTAAGCAACTGTGGTTACTGTATCTCGCCCACAACTGCAACACTGGTCGAAGGACGTGACCGATATATCCTCCGTCATGAACTACATCATTCAGAAGAGACTGGAAGGTAAATCTTGCTTCATCAACGTTGTGTGTTGCCTGTAACTACTGTCTCTACCCCCAGCACCCCCCCCCCCTCCCTCTCCAGCCCGTTGTCGTCGTGAGGGGACTTGGTGGTGGGCGGCTGCCGGGGCCTGATGCTCCATGGGACAGTCCTCTGTCCTTTTGAAGCCTTATGCTTCTGTTGCCGTCTTCACTAATGATGCTGGCTACTTGTTGTTCTTCCTCGTGTTTCAATTATGCTCCCCTCCCCCCTCTCCTCCTTTCTGATTGTTATTTCTCGCCGACTTTTTGCCATTCTTAATTATTCTTTCCGATGTCTTCTGTGTTAACGTCGGGTGTTTGGGGAGGAGCGCGCGCTCACCCACAGAACTGTGGTACAAGACGTTGTCGAGTGAGGGGTGGGCGCTTGTAATGTAAATTCTCGCCTTCGTTGCTGAACCCGGTCACGACGGTCTGACGGTTCTTAGGATGACGATTGTGGGGCCACCCCAGTACAGTGATGAATACCCACCCCAGTACAGTGATCGATGAATGCCCACCCCAGTACAGTGATCGATGAATGCCCACCCCAGTACAGTGATCGATGAATGCCCACCCCAGTACAGTGATCGATGAATGCCCACCCCAGTACAGTGATCGATGAATGCCCACCCCAGTACAGTGATCGATGAATGCCCACCCCAGTACAGTGATCGATGAATGCCCACCCCAGTACAGTGATCGATGAATGCCCACCCCAGTACAGTGATCGATGAATGCCCACTCGGGTACAGTGGAAGTGCATTCCACTTATTGACCACCTGTACAGAGTATGATTATTTCCTTACATTCCTTTGACTCATTTGTGTTTCCAGCTTCCTCTTGTGCTACTTTCTCTGATTAAAAGTTTATCCTTGTCCAACTTGTCCCGTTCAGTATCTTGTATGTAATCATATTTCCTGTTTCTTAGGTCCTCCAGCGTTGTGAGGTCTGGTTCCCACAACCTGTTCTCATAGCTTAACGCCACTTAGCTCTGGCACTAATCTGTTTGCAAACCTCTGTACTTTCCCGAATTTGCTTTTGCGTTTCACGGGGTAAAGATTCCAGGCCGGCGCTGCATATACTATTATTGGTGTAAGAGAAGCTGTGAATGTTGCCTTAAGAGCGTCGTAACTTAGGTTTCTAAACGACGTTCTAATGTTTGTCAGCGTCTCATATGCTGCCGATGTCACCCTGTCTGTGTGCGCCTCTGGTGTTTGTGATGAAATTGTTTCTCTTCACGTCGGAAATATCTTAAAAGATGTGGCTTTTTATATGTTGTGCTTATGGCCTATCAAATGCGGGAGGGTTATTAAGGCCACAACAATAGCTAATTGACTACATCAAGTATTTGTGTTTTTTGTATATATGCTTCAGTTCCTTTGTGATCACATAAATCTAAAAATGATATTGTATGTTGCAGAGATGCCTGGTGTAGCACCCTGGGAACAGCGGCTGTGTTTCTTAGTGTTGCTGCTGCTGGTGATGAGGCTACAGGCTGACTGCTGGCGCGCCCTCTGTCGCCTCGACCAACGAGGTCTGTACCTCAGTCCTGAGAGAGACACACACACACACACACACACACACACACACACAAGGACCTCGCGGCTGAGTAGACAGCGCTATGGGGTTGTACTCCTAATGGCTCGGGTTCGACTCCCGGTGGAGGCGGAGAAGAATGGGCAAAGTTTCTTTCACCCTGATGGTCATATGTACCTGGGAGTTAAACAGCTGCTACGGGCTGCTTCCTGGGGATGTGTGTGTGTGTGTGTGTTAGAGAGAAATATATGTAGTAGACATAATAGCGGAAAAATAGATTGGTAAGAAAGGCGAGAAATAAGAGCTAATATCTCGGTCCTGCAGACACAAATAGTAAATACACACAAACGCTTACACTCTCACTACTTGACAACAATGTCAGGACCCACCCAGTGAGCACCACACGTCTCCAGCAGGAGTGATGACCCGGCTGAGTGAGGACACCTTCAGCACCAACGCCCTTATCATGGTGACCGTCTACCTGGTGATGTGGCTGCCCATGCTGGTGCTGCGGACCGTCGATGTCGAAGACCACCCTCACTACTCCATTTACAGTATGTACCAACATACATATTGTGTTTTCCAGGGGAGAGTTTTAGCTCCTGGCTATCAGCAGTCTGGTTTAACTGAACACAGCCTCTTAAAGATATTTTGACAAAAGTTTGAACCCCATGATATCCTCCTTTAGTTCATACACCTTATTTGCCACTCTTATACTTAGGAAAAATTGCTTAAGGACACTTGATTTGGACGAGTCCCATAAGTACACAGAACTGGATCACCTTTATAGTTTCATCCCTATTGCATAGGAGACGCTAAGTGCTGGGATAAAAGTACCACAAATTTCTTGAAACATCTGGTTCTAAATAGTCGAAACGCCAAGTTACACCAAGAGCCACCAAATTCCTTTTACAGCGCCTCAGGGGAAGGGGGGGGGGGGGTAACGCACACTGCATTCAGGGTTCCCGCCCGCCATCTGAGCACCTTCAACTAGACGGACTGTGACAACAAATTGTTTATCTTGCATGTAACTTATGTTTTAACTCATTTTGTGTATTAAAGTTATAAATAAAATAATTACAAATATTTATGGGGTTGGTAGAAGACAACATGCGAGGGCGCATGGGAGCTCCAACAAGACTCCCAAGTGTGTGTGTGTGTGTGTGTGTGTGTGTGTGTGTGTGTGTGTGTGTGTGTGTGTGTATGTGTGTGTGTACTCACCTAGTTGTACTCACCTAGTTGTGTTTGCGGGGGTTGAGCTCTGGCTCTTTGGTCCCGCCTCTCAACCGTCAATCAACAGGTGTACAGATTCCTGAGCCTATCGGGCTCTGTCATATCTACACTTGAAACTGTGTATGGAGTCAGCCTCCACCACATCACCCCCTAATGCATTCCATTTGTCAACCACTCTGACACTAAAAAAGTTCTTTCTAATATCTCTGTGGCTCATTTGGGCACACACTTGTGTGTGTGTGTGTGCGCGTGTGCGCGCGCGCGCAACCCGTTCTCGCACTTTCGTATAGTCAATATTGACTTATTAAATATGTGCATATGTGACATACTAAACATACTAGTTTACCTTGAAAAGCTTCATAGAAAACACCGACCTTACCTAACCTTCTTAGTATGTTAAGCCTCTTATTGCTTCGTAATTACAATTACTACTTAACCTATTATAGGTATAGGTATACCTATAATATGTATAGGTTATTATAACCTATACATATACAGGTTATTATAACCTTAACCTATACCTATTATAGGTATAGGCTAAGTAATAATTGTAATTATAAAGCAATAAGATGCTTATCTTAACATACTAAGAAGGTTAGGTAAGGTCGGTGTTTTCTATGAAGCTTTTCAAGGTAAACTAGTATGTTTAGTATGTCACATATGCACGTATTTGATAAGTCAATATTGACTGTAAGAAAGTGCGAGAACGGGTTGGTGTGTGTGTGTATATTGTTACTAAACACTAACGCAAGGTCGTGGGTGGTGTACAGGTGGTGTGGTGAGCTACCACTGCTACTTCCAGCAGAGGACGACCAGCGCCTTCCTCACCGCTCTGGTTGTCTCCCGGGTCGGCTCCCTCCACACCACCGTAAGTGTAACTTGTATCCTTGGTTGTCACTGTTACAGGTGGTGCTGGGAGCCAGCTGGACGGCATGATGGTGTGTGAACTGTTACAGGTGGTGCTGGGAGCCAGCTGGACGGGCATGATGGTGTGTGAACTGTTACAGGTGGTGCTGGGAGCCAGCTGGACGGCATGATGGTGTGTGTGAACTGTTACAGGTGGTGCTGGGAGCCAGCTGGACGGCATGATGGTGTGTGAACTGTTACAGGTGGTGCTGGGAGCCAGCTGGACGGGCATGATGGTGTGTGAACTGTTACAGGTGGTGCTGGGAGCCAGCTGGACGGGCATGATGGTGTGCGGCCTGCTGGCGCCGCTGGTGATGAACGAGGTGGTGTGGCAGGCGTGCGCCTCCAAATCTTGGAGTCTGCAAGCGAATGTTTACATTGAAAATCGTGGCAATTACACCTTGCTCCACGATACTCGTAAGATACAAATGTTTAGCTTCCCAGTATATCATCATCATATTACCCTATTATTATATTTAACGCTCCAAGTATTGACTCAAAACCAGTTTCATATTGACTTTCATAAATAGCTTGGTTAATGATATATATATTGAAAGTCTTAAAGTATTTGTGGTAGTTAAGAGGACAAACGATGTAAACGTAATATTAACCATAGAGTCTTAACCTAACCTCATGGCAGCTTGATTAGTTTCATCTTTTGCTTTCCTTAATGTACGCTCGGATTGTGGAGGTTATCTTCTTGAGGTTATCTTGAGATGATTTCGGGGCTTTAGTGTCCCCGCGGCCCGGTCCTCGACCAGGCCTCCACACCCAGGAAGCAGCCCGTGACAGCTGACTAACACCCAGGTACCTATTTTACTGCTAGGCAACAGGGGCATAGGGTGAAAGAAACTCTGCCCATTGTTTCTCGCCGGCGCCCGGGATCGAACCCAGGACCACAGGATTACAAGTCCAGCGTGCTGTCCGCTCGGCCGACCGGCTCCAAAGGAATAGTTGGCATGTATTTGGGCTCGAGCTGACGACCGTTCGGCCACCAGCGGCAGACACCACTCTGAGGCCGAGACTCTTCCTAAAATAAAGAAAGATGCCCAACCTCGCGGAACATCGGGGATCGAACTTCGAGCCTGCTCGAACCACGCCCTTGCCTTATCGACCAACTGATATGATTTTTTAATATAAAAGGGTGACAGACAAGAGGCACTGAACTACAGGCTAGTGTCCTTAACTTGTATATCATGCAAGGTGACGGAGAAGATCGTGAGAACCTAGTAACACATCTGGAGAGAAAACACTTCGTGACAACCCATCAACATGGGTTCATTTCTGGAGGATCATTTTGATGCTTGTCTGTATCAGTGAATGTTTCCTGGCGAGCATATGTTGAGTGAACGTCTGCTGGCGAGCACTTGTATGGGTGAACGGCAGCTGGCGAGCATCTGTATGGGTGAACGTCTGCTGGCGAGCATCTGTATGGGTGAACGGCAGCTGGCGAGCATCTGTATGGGTGAACGACATCTGGCGAGCATCTGTATGGGTGAACGGCAGCTGGCGAGCATCTGTATGGGTGAACGGCAGCTGGCGAGCATCTGTTGAAGACTACTACTGCTCCACAAGTGCTCCTCGAATTAGACGTTGCATTTTGACGTCAAAATCCCCAGCAGACAAAATATGATGAACTACAAATCCTAGCGGCTCACAAGCATTCACTTTATCTATGCGCGAGTCACTTGGTTACTTAAGTTAGGTTCGGATATTTTAGTATACCATTTTCTGTCCATTGTGGCAAGATGAGAGGACAGGCTGCTACATGTGTGGTGTTGTCTGGCAGCTGGTGTGATATGCAAAACGGAGATTAACGAGAATTGGCTGCACCTGGCTGTGGGTGAGTGGATGCTGACAACAGTGCTAGCAGCGATCATGTACTGGGCCTCCAGCACCCTGGCCTCCAGCACCCAGCCTCAAACGTACACCGAGAAGGAACTTTACAACCATCTAACATCAGGTGAAATGCCTTCAATAAATACCAAATTTATTATTACAATTATTGCTATGTCGTGTGTGTGTGTTACAATTGTTTCATAAATTATCAACGTACTGATTAAGACATGAAGTTTTTTGTATTTTGTCGAGCATCTGGCACCTGTGGTTGTTGTACATCTGCGTCTTACAGCTGTGGCTCTTCATGTCGTGATCTGATGGATGTGGTTGGTTGTCTTTCCCCTGATACTTGTGGTGTGTTTGGGACTTGGTTATGAGTAGGGTAAATGGAGACGTAGACCGTCCCTCCATCCTGGCTTGCAATGTTTAAAATATTACATGCAACATTGCAGTGTGGGGTTACAACAGGCAAAATAGCAAAGGTAAAAATTGGGGATTTACAATATATAATTCCATAGTGTTTCAGGCATTGCAAGTAAGGAGAATAGTGAAATGTATTTAGTTATAATAGTGTTGAAATGATGGTTTTGCACATCATAGAGTTGAGGTGCATGTATACTTTGCACAAAAAAAAAAGTACCGAGATAGGAGATCGATTAGCACTAATGTTGGTTCAGTAGTGAGGAAGGCGATGATAACATCAAAGAGCAATAAAGACGCCATTAACTGTGGGACCTACGGCTCGCTCATGACCTTCTCTCCACACTTTCTCCCACCTACAACCCCTCCCATTGTTTCCATCCCCCATACCTAATGTCCTGCTTCCCCAAACACCCCCTCCGTAGCTCCTGTTGCCCCTTATTCCCCTCCCACCCTGCAACCCTCATCTTCCCTTGCAATCACCCCGATCGAACCCTTCCTTCTGCAACCCATCCCCTCTCCCTCTACACCCCTTTCCATCTCTTGAATCCAATCAGTGCACCTTCATTTATTGCACTCCCTCTGTGATTGTATATACGGCGAGCATCTCATGTCTATGGTTGTATTTCCGATGTGGACGTGGCCATGCAGCGGAGAGAGCAGTTCACAAAGGTGTAGTCTTCCTGCGATGGCTGGTGAGCTGTTTTATCTTGGTGTGGTCACTGGTGCTCCGCCCTGCTCTCTCTCTCTACCTCTACGTCTCCTACTACAAGGTATGGCGAGTCCTCCACCTGTTGATTACCTCAGGTACATTACCCTCCTCCTAGTGACTACCATAGGTACACTACCCTCTTACTATTGACTACTGCAGCTACACTACCCTCCTGATGACTATTGTAGGTACACTGCCCTCCTAGTGACCACTGGAGGAAATTCAGATCGAGATATTTGATTAACGTCTTGATAAGTTGTTTTTATGAAACAGTTTATTTAATGTGTTAACATGAGTGTATTGTGTTTACTGGCAGCCTCGTCTCCACTCCCATTCATACTCCCTCTCCAGGCTGTTGCCTCCCTCTCACCATCCTCTACCCCTCCACCACCACCATCATCTCCCACACCACCGTTACCATTATATCTCCCATTTCCCAGCGTCTCCGCTTCTCATCATCTTCCTCTCCTCCTCGCTGCCCAGGAATGGACGTTCATCCAGGACGTCCCCACACACGTCATATTCTTGCTCTTCGCCGTCCTCATACCCATGGAGGTAGCAGCACTCTCTCCTGAACACCAAGACGAACTCCAGGAGGAACAACCCGTCAAACATCATATGATGGAAAAATGGAAAACCGGGATCATCGAAAACGACTCTGATCCAATTTGGAAATCGGACGATCTTCTTTCTAACCAGTGTTATGATGAGGATGTAGAACCCCTATGGGAGACACCAGGAACATTACCGGAGACAGGACTGTTGGATGGCCAGCACCAGACAGGAGGCAGGACAGGGGGTGAGGGTCTAGAAGTGACCAAGACTGAGCAGGGTGCGGCGGTCATTAGGAAGGATGCTCATGGAGTTGTGTAATGTATTGGAGTAATATTGTATATCCAGTATATAATATTGTATACGAGTAATCTTGCTATAAGCTTTTGTGCAAAGGTGCACACTGGAGGGGGTGTTTCAGGGTTAATTACAGAAATATACACATTTTATTTAAGGTTAAGCTAGACAAGCCATGTGTTCCAGGGTCACAACACACAGTGTTTGACCCAGGGTTACACTTCTGCGACTAAGGTTGCAGTGAAACTTCGCACAAAAGGGGGGGGTGGTTGTGGCTACCATTCCTCTTGCGCTCTTTACGACTAATAAAAAAAAAACTGAACAAGGCATTGTTACTTAATAATTCCACCCTAGTTCTTTCAGAAAAAAGTAAAAATTTAGGAAGTAGGGTCTTCAACCAGAAAATTACGACTTTTGTCCTAGAGTTACTACAGTAACTAACAGGAATGTGTGAACAAGGCTAGAAGAGCTCTGTCGTCCCGCCATGTAAATTAGTCCGAACCTTTCCAGTCATAGTACCTTTGTCATTTATGCTCACCACCTTTAGCTGAAACTAACACAAGTTCCTTCCTATAAATAATTAGTGTTTCTCCAACTTGCCAAAGATGTTCCATCTCACATTAAATTATCTAAAAAATACCAGAATGTAACTTTTTACCAAACACGGCGAGAGTTATTAAACAAGAGGAAAGAGACGTGCATAAATTTGTCAAAACTTTACTCACATGACAATATAGAAATATCAAACATTGATTAGACATTACTCCCGGTAGTAAATCACTTAAATTAGGCTATCACTCTGCACTCAGATTGAGCACGAGGGTGTGGACACGTTCAACCTTTAACACATTCATTTAAGAGTTTATGATTAGTGACATTCTTTGATATCGTTATAGTGAATCACTTTCTAGTGACAATTGCTAATATCAACACGGCAGTATATACAGTAAAATGACAACCCGAGATAGTAAACAAAGTTAATGTCAACACTTAAGCATAGCTTTAATACTGTACTGTACTAAGTAAAAAAAAATTAGTAAATACATGAATATAAACAAAGCAATGTCAACATTTAAATAAACAATACCGCCAAAACAGTAGTATAAATACTGTAGTCAATATTTCCATTGTACGGTAAACAGTTCAGCGATATATACAAGGTAAACAGAGCATTTAAAGTCCTAAAAATGAGTGATATGTACACGGGGAATTTATATAAACATGTGAAACTACATGAAGGTGGTTACTATCACAAGAATAACTACTATAAGAACACTTATCAATATAAACAATGGGAAGAGTCATCAGCCGTAAAGAGGGACTTGTTTTCTATAACGTTAACACCAATTCAAGTGTTGTGAATATTTGTGACCTGGCCGTCCATAACTGTATCGTCATCTCTAACAGAAGTTATTCACTCAATAAGTAAATTATTATCAAAAGAAGGCACCTAACCGGGAAGGCTGTGTAGCAACAGATTCACTCAATAAATGATTCTAGGCATCATGAATGTACAGACTAAGATGACATGAAAATCAGACATTATAACTCAAAAAAACCTAAAATGATCATTTACACGAACACCAAAATAAGCCGATGTGACCTTTTAAATAAAACTGAGTAGGTCAGGTGAGTAGGTCGGCCGCACACCACGCACTAACCTGCAATACAATGCACAGTGCCTTAAGACTCCAGGATGTCTATTTGCGGAGTCCAATACTACCTCTCCTGGCTACTATACATTCCTGTGTGTGTAAGAGTTACTTATCGGATTTCACTCCTTAGTAGCAACTACTAAGAGCTGGTATGATCCATTGGGGGGGGGGGGCTGACGGCTGAATGGACAGCACTTGGGGTTCGTAGTCCTAAGGGTCCGGGTTCGATCGCCGGTGGAGGCGGAAACAAGTGGGCAGGCCTGATCCTGATCCAAAATTCATCCTGATTTCCTCCTGTTTACCTAGCAGTAAACAGGTACCTGGGAGTTAGACAGCTGCTACGGGCTGCTTCCTGGGGTTTGTGTGTGAAAATTAGGATTCAAGGTCTTGCCCGAAACGCTATGCGTGCTTGTGGCTGTACAAGAATGTAAGAACTCTTGTATAAATAAATAAATAAATGCTGGGTCAATGTGTTAATTTGTTGCCGTTCACTTGGACAGTCTACACCTATTCAAGTGGGTATAACGCCAAGGACATAGATATAGACTTAACATCTGTCCTCATTTTGGTGCTCTTCCACATTATTAATATAACAGGACTGCTCATCATTAGCCAATCCTGCAACTAGTTCTCTTTGATAGGTACAACGATGGGGGTCTCAGTTCTGTGTCCACGGCCACCAAGAGCAGACTGACCTCTCGGTGCTATACAGTCGTAATGGTTTAGCGCTTTCTCCTTTGAACTACTTAAAATGTATAATGAGTTAATTATCATAAGCAAGGATGACTTGATGCTCGTCTGTCTTACGAGGCCCGAGTGAATGGCAGCAGTGTTGCCCACCAGAGGCCACAGGGAGTCTCATCGCCCAGATGAAGGAACAATAGGCAACATAGGGGGCCGTTGACCAGAACGAGATCCCTGTGGGTATGTACCTTATCACGCCGAGAGGGTCGAGGCAACCCTCACCAACCTCGGAGGCGTACGAGAATCTCCTCGCCACCAGGTGACACTCTGGAAGGGGGTGTAGTGGTAGTGGTAGTGGAGACACTCTGGAAGGGGGTGTAGTTTGCTTGAGGACCGAGTGGGCGGGTTCGAATCATCCTTATGGCTCTTACTGATTCTCGCAGACATTAGTAAATGTTTGTACAATTTGGATCTATTTTTAATAGATCAATTAAAAAACTAATCGAGATTCATTAATACATTTCTCATTAGAATTGATGCTTCTTGGAACACACTCATGTATTTGTCAATGGGCCTTCTGCAGTTTGCTCTTCTTATGTTCGTGAACTAAAGACTTATTTTTCCATCTAGCTTGCATCCTTCCTGCCTATATCTCCCCGCCCCCAATTGTAATATTCGCTCTTCTGAAGATGTATTAAAACGAAAGTACTGAAGGAATTTCCTGTCATTTTCCTTTATGGTCAGACATTGTCGTGTGCGCGCGAGCGGACGCAATTACAGCCCCATAGTAAACATGGCTTCAAACAATGCTGGAGCCAGCTTCTGTGCAAGGTAAAACCCGGCTCTTTGCTGTGGCAGTTCCTCATGAGAGGTTGGGGAAGCTTCCTGTTGGCTGTCCCTAATTACTCTTGGCATCCACCTGGACGGCCCAGCGCTTCCTATTAGTTTTACCATGTGTCTTACCACTCAACACAGGTGTATTTGCAGCTGTGCATTGATAAACCAATACAGAAACCCTGGTCTCGTCTGCCGTAGACCAGAAGGAAAGTTTCGAGGCAGTGACATTAGAGAATGTTACAGCAAAGTGTCCCGCATAAAGTTTGCACATTGCCAAATGTGCAAATCTGACAATAGTTTCAAGCTTCCAAATGGAATTACCCTGCAACCTTGAAGAAACCAGGGATTAAACTTGTGCTTCTACATTGGCCGATATTTATCTAGAGAACAGTGAAGACCAAGGTGGTATTGCTGCCATCTTCAGGGAATCCAAGGAAACCAGTAATACAATGACTCGGAGCATTGTTACAGGCTCGTGCCAATAGGCTAAGAGACCCCTGGAAACCTGGGGTAAATGTCCACTCAACTTTCGGAAGGCGGTGGGAGAGAAACTCATAAGGCAAACCAGCAACCCAAGGGCAGCCAGTTTCCTGTTCCAGCACTTCAGTGTCACAAACTAGAAGTAAAATACCTCCTGTGTTATGAGCACTTGTGCAGAGATGTTTGAACAGTGACTCATGTATTATAGTAGTTGAAACACAATGTAACAATGAAAAAATGTAATATAAATAATAAATCATATTTATTACAAAAAATAGAAGTGGTAGAAGAAAATGCTAAAACTGTCAAAGTATCTGCAAGGGATTCTCTGAATGCCTTTTATTCTCTTCTCGGAGGCTGTGGGTCCCGACAATTACACCAGAGGAAGTATCCCTTTATAGAAGAGCATTGCTTGAGGTATAGCTCCACCAGGATGGCCTATATGCAATTTAGAACACGAGGAATTTCATAGTCCTGGAAAGAAATGAAAATACAACTACAAACTGCATTTTAATTTTTAGTAAATTTGTTCAAACATACTTTTAGGAGTTATTACTGTTGTGATGCTACGCTACCCCTCCCTTGCCTCTGTCTCCTCTTGCTCTGTAGTCGGTTACATCCAACACTCCCCCCCTCCCTCTCCCTCTCCAGCCCGTTGTCGTCGTGAGGGGACTTGGTGGTGGGCGGCTGCCGACTGCCATGGGACAGGCCTCTGTCCTTTTTGAAGCCTTATGCTTCTGCTGCCGTCTTCACTAATTAAGCTGGATGCTATTTCCTCTTCCTCGTCTTTCATTTTCATCCCCCGCTCTTCTCCTTTCTAATTATCATTTCCCGCCGACCTTTTGCCATTCTTGATTATTTTTTCGGACAACTTCTGTTTTGACGCCCGGGTGTTTGGGGAGGCACACTCCCTCACACCCGTAGAAATGTAGATTTAAGAGTGTGTTTTGCTGGGTTCCCAGCCTTATTGGCGTGTCCTTGAATGAGCGTGCGGACGCTTCCGCTCAGGAGGCTATCCGCACTTGTCCCGTCCTCCCGTAAAGGTATCCCTTATTCAGACTTCTACCCAGTTATTTATTCCTCAATCCTTGCCCGTTGGCATGGTCGTTACTATTACTGGCAACAGACTGCGTTCCCTCCAGGGTAATGTGTCCCCATGGCCTTCCGTCCCTCGCGGTCACTTATCCTTGGATAATATATCCAAGGATATTTTTGGTAAATCTGATTCCCTTGATACCGTTCGTCTTACGCACTTTTGTTGAAACATCTAACATTATTAAATCTACATATTTATTAAGCATTAGTTGCAAAGTCCACACCCACATTTATTAAACTTGATAGAACTACAACAGTTCCTCTAGTCACATGGAGGCAGGAGTGGTCGACGTTGATAAGTTGAGCTGACGCAATAATTTATCAAGTAACTAAGTAATTAATGTAACAAAGTCCTCAAATTTAATTGTACTTAGCAAAATTTAATAAGAATAAACTTATAACTCAAGAGGGAGACTATTTCCCAAAATAGAAACTGGTAAACAAGATTAACGTAAACACTCTACGGACAACACACGCCCAATTTCATTTAGTTTCCATTTCAGACTTCATGAGAGGTGTTGCGTTACAGGCTATGTTTCTAACAGCACTTACCTTAGGTCTACCCTGATCAACCTATGTCAGTCCCATACACCACACAATTTTCTCTACAAATTTCAGTAAGAATAGCATCTGGCCTCCAACTTTGGACAGACATACGGTCACTTATAGTTTATGTTGTACCTAATAAGCCAAATATTCCGGAAATATTTTAGTACTCATTTTGTCTTATAGAAAGATAGTTTTCCGTTATATAATATTTGATCTGCATTTTTTTATTCAAAACACAGAAATTTGATTAAACCTAACCTACGTAACCTAACGTATTGAAGTCAGTAATTCATGTTCTTTATATATCAATTAATATTAGTACTGTACTGTATATATAAACAAATTTGAAAAGAAATCATCGAAAATAAGGAAAATCGCTTCCTGTTAAGGAAAACGAGCCTTGCGTACTAGGCGAAGTAGTGTGTTTAGGGTATTAGGTACAACATATATAAAACTATAATGTTTATATAACAAAAAACCACAGTATACAGTGAAAATACTAATTAAGCTCATTAACGAAAATATTAAACTCATTAGCATTGAATCATCAGTGCATAATTACCTCAGAAATAGCGAGCCCGGGTTGATAGTAGTCATAGAGAAGCACAGTGCCACGCTTGGTGTTGTGAACCCTAACCTCTCGTGTGAGGCGGAACACTACACACGTCTCTCGCTTAGTCAACTCGTCCAGGTAAAAGGTAACCTTCCTGCCATCCACTTCATACTTCTTGACCTCAGAACCGCTCTCCGTGATTTTCACAAGGTCTGACTTATTGGGGACGTAGCCGGACACGAGGTTGACCTCCAGGATAGCCATGTTGGACCTGTCATCTGGCAGCAAGTAGCTGCCACAGGCAGTAAAGTGCTTTATCACACACATCTTGTCAGGCTCCGTCTTCACAGTCAGTGTGAAGGCAGCACTTGCTTTACGCTCCGTCACATTGTACTTCACGACAGACTGCAAGGAAAATAATCAGGTATTTTGTATACAAATAATTTAAAATGCATGTATATTGGCAGCAAGCTTTCATTGAATAAGACTTATGTTCCGTGTTGATTATTTTCTTGATAAGGCTTCTATCCCTAGTGCTTTTGCATCTTGGTTTAATTGGAAGAGCATTTCTTAGAATGTCACATTTGTTAAAGGGTGACTAAAAGAACAAAAACTTTATGTATTATTTTTACTCTAATTTACACAACGTTTCGAACCTAAAAAGTTCATTCTCAAGTGACTACTTAAAAGACATAATTGATGACAATCCTGTTACTTTAAGCCCTACACAAAATTAGAATCACCCACCGTAAACCCTCAAATAGCAGGATTATTCACTCTCCCGAGGTAGAGGGAGAGGGAGAGAGAGGGAGGGAGAGGGAGAAGGAGGGAGCAAGAGCAGAACATGATGACGTCCCTGCCCAAAACGCCATGCCCACTACGGCCACCTAAACTCTCATTACCCAATCTCCTGATTTAATTTTGTATGCTTAGTTTATTACCCCCATCACCTTATTCTTATTTCTTTCGCTTTTCCCTCTGACAATTTTGCATGTGCCAGACCTTTTAGTGTTATAAATTATACGTTTCCTCACGTCTTGTCATTAGTCACTTGAAAATAAACCCTGTAGGTTCGAAACGTTGTGTAAGAATAATACATTATACAAAACGTTGTGTAATAATAATACATTATACAGTTTTGTTCTTTTAGTCCCCCTTTAACAAATGTGACATTCTAAGAAATGCTCTTCCAAATAAACCAAGATCCAAGACAACTAATCAGAGGGTTGAAGCCCTAAACAAAAATATTTACACTGAATATGTAGTTGTAATTTAAAATATGCATATATACTCCTTTGATAACTAGAGGTATTTGCTGGTTACAGTTATAACTATTAGCGTTACCAGCCGTCACAGCAAGCAGTGAGTGCTGGCTACAGATGAGTATGGGGAGCACAAACTACCACTCAGGATAAGCGTCGAGGGCAGAATAAGGTACCGCTCACAGGATGAATTTGGGCTGCACAATAAACTACTACTCAAAGGACAATTGACTATTAGGTGCACTATACACAGCTTACAGGATAATTTTGGGGTGTACAACCTACGTAAAAAACTTACAACTTACCGCTTACAGGATGAATATGGGGTGCACAATAAACTCCCTTTCACAGTATAACAAGGTTATTTCATGCATGTGATCTTCAATGATCTACTTTATTACTGTCAACAGCTATGGTATGCTAGTATTACCCACTCACCTGGACCATCAGGCAACCTTTGCCCATTATTCTAAAATTGAGCATTGCTGGAAGGTAGGTAAGGCGCATCATCTTGGTGAAGGACCTGTTACCCTCGTGTACAATGACGGAATGGTTCACGCCGCCACCTATCACCGTGGCCACCATGTTCAAGTTGCCTTCATAGAAATGCGACTCGTAGACAGACAGAGCTTGTAGAGCTACGACTGTATCCTGAATATAAAGGGGGGGGGGGGGAAGGAAAAATCAGTACAAGGATAAAAAGTGTGATAAAGCGAAAATTTCAGATTATAAAATGGCATCATCACAAATAACTTTTAGTTATGCAGGATTCACCTGTGTGGTGTAAAAGCCTCCCTGGCTATTTCTCTGTCTTGCTATCCACTTGACTATCTTCCGTATTTGTGGTTTATGCACCGTGTAATTCGTGGCCACCATAGCTAGGAGGGCGTAACTCGCAGTCTCTACCTCCAATGCTTTTCTTTGGACTAAACAAGAAGCAAAACATTCAGCAAATGCATCTCTTCCAATTATTATACAATATTTAGTGTGCCAGGAATATAAACATATGAGAGTAACCACGGTGAATTGGAAAAAATGCTTCTTTCCCAGTTTATTGTGGTTACACGTGTCATGTGTGTGTATATATTTGTGTATATAGACATACATACACGGTGTCCCTAAAGTCTGTTCCCATAAGCAAAGTATTAAAAGAAAACCACTAGGATATTTATATAATTTATGAATTATCACTTAGTTTATCAGGAACTAATAATCGTCCTAGAACTAAATCGTACATATAATCGTATAATAATCGTATAAAAATAATCGTACATGAACTAAAGGATAACATAAGAGAATCCATAATAACAAATACTCCCATGCTTAGAATGTTCAAATGTCTTGCGTTGAACGCGTTCACAAATGTACTGAAGTAAATTGATGTCATTTTGAACATTATTCTAACTGATAAACTAATAATTCATAAATTAAAAAACCCAAGTGGTTTACTTGTATATTTTGCCTATGGGGCCAAACGTTTGGGACACCCTACAGTATATATACATACAGAGAACACACACACACATTACCCCCCCCTCCCAATCTCCTCATGTCCCTTATTCCTCTCCTCACCCACATTTTACAACCCTTCCACCTTCATTTCCCGCTTACTTCCTGTCTGGCCTCCAACACACATTTCCAAATTATATATAAAATATCTAAGTATCTAAGTATACAAAATATTTATTACACCATAATTAAATCAAGTAGGTAATTATGAAACATGGTGTAAGAAAAACAAGCTTTTTGAGTGAACATTTGAGCACTTACAATTGTCACTCCATATATCCCAATGTATGGTATTCTTAGTGACATTAGCTTTCCCAGTGAGCTGCTGGAGCACCTGATGGGCCTCTTTTCGTTTAGCGAGGGCGAGAGCGTAAGACTTGAGCGCCATGGTGTAGATATCCTGAGACGAGTCATTGGCCACACAGGAAGTTGCATTTAAGATGACTGTAGTGGTAGGTTTCATCCCTGTCTCCAGCAAGGCGGTAACCACGTAGGCCGTCTGAGGTACCGGGGACTCCTGGCCAGCTATGTTTCCCTAAAGAATATATATTACACATTAGTAAACAAAATGATTTTCCCGAAGTAAAAAAAACTCCCAAACTCTTATACCCTTCCACTTAAGTGTGGACGGGTATAAGTAACGATGACCAATACATACGAGATTACAATGAACGAAATTAATGTTAAGCAGCCTAACATACACTACTATACACGGAGAAATCACATTAACGTGATATATGAAAGAAATCTACAGGAGGATTTGATTAGAGCGCGTCTGGGAACACTCGGCGCATAGGTTCGAATCCTCATCACGGCTCCTGTGGATTTGTTCTATACTACTATTATGTTATACAAGATTACTAGTGCAAGGTTACCAGCGGTGTTGTCTCCATCTTTATGCTCAACACACGCTATATAACTAATTCGGATTTAATATTAAATTATGGAACTAAACATTTATAAACCACAACTGTCAAAAATTTCATAATTAAATAATTGATTATGAGAATAATTGACTCTCGCCTTCAAGGCCTCGCTAGACTTTTCCTCACTTGTCGAAGACTTTTCCTCGCCCTTCATGACGACGTTAAAGACTTTCTCACCTGTATGGCATTGCTAATGTATTACTTCCCTGCATGGCATCGACAAAGACTTACCCAAATACTCTTTTTAAATACATTTACTCACCTGCATGCATTTGTCAACAACATTTCAGCAAGTGCAAGCAACTGAGGAAGATATTTACTCACCCGCATGCACTTGTTGAAGACTTTCCCAACAGAATGGAAGCAGCCAGTAGTAGTGTTCTGGGTGCTCAGGAGCCACGTTAGGGTCTTGTGCAGCTTCTTCCTATCAATCTGACAACATATAGCACATAGTTCTCGGTTTATAATAAACTGAGAATAAATAAACAAATATACTCATACACAGTACATGATTACTCTGGATCCTGTCACAATTGAATCACATGTGTGAGTGTAAGGATCAAATTATTCTCCAAGAGAGTGTAGGGGTGTTAATTTACCGCTATAAAAGAGCTGGCCTGGGCAAAGGACTTGAGGACGAAGGCAGTGAGCCAGCTGGAGCCAGCGGCATCAGCTTTCCCGAAGCCACTGTAGGAACCGTCATCCCGTCCGTACACAATCTCGCGCACATAGTCTGGTAACCAAGAATATATATATGTTAATTATACATAATCATCCCTGTGTGTCTAAACGGCGCGCATATATATATATATATATATATATATATATATATATATATATATATATATATATATATATATATATATATATATATATATATATATATATATATATATATATATATATATATATATATATATATATATATATATATATATATATATATATATATATATATATATATATATATATATATATATATATATATATATATATATATATATATATATATATATATATATATATATATATATATATATATATATATATATATATATATATATATATATATATATATATATATATATATATATATATATATATATATATATATATATATATATATATATATATATATATATATATATATATATATATATATATATATATATATATATATATATATATATATATATATATATATATATATATATATATATATATATATATATATATATATATATATATGTCGTACCTAGTAGCCAGAACTCACTTCTCAGCCTACTATTCAAGGCCCGATTTGCCTAATAAGCCAAGTTTTCCTGAATTAATATATTTACTATAATTTTTTTCTTATGAAATGATAAAGCAACCCTTTTCTCTATGTATGAGGTCAATTTTTTTTATTGGAGTTAAAATTAACGTAGATATATGACCGAACCTAACCAACCCTACCTAACCTAACCTAACCTATATTTATAGGTAAGGTTAGGTTAGGTAGCCAAAAAAAGCTAGGTTAGGTTAGGTTAGGTAGGTTAGGTAGACGAAAAAACATTAATTCATGAAAACTTGGCTTATTAGGCAAATCGGGCCTTGAATAGTAGGCTGAGAAGTGCGTTCTGGCTATTAGGTACGACATATATATATATATATATATATATATATATATAAAATATCATGTTGAGCAAAAGTTATAGTCAATTGAAGTTATGCTTGGTGTGTACAGCAGTCATTGTCCACTCTCAAATGGTTCCTTAATACTGCCCCAAAGTACTACCCTCCTTCCATTCCCACAACTCCCCCCCCCCCTTTTTCCATGCAACGACCCCCCCCCCCACATCTCTTACGCTACAACCTCCCATATCACACGCCACAACTCCCCCCCCCACAATTCCCATGCCACAACTCCCCCCCCCCCCATCTACGGCACAAACCCCCATTTCCCACGCGAAAAATCATCTTTCTCACCCCCCACATCACCACCCCCCCAACTTCAGAACCTCTTCTCCCACCCCACAACCCCTCTCCCACCCCACAACTTTATCTCCCACCCACTAACCTCAACTTGCTGTACATAACCCCCATCTCCCACAACCCTCCACACTATGCTAGCGTGAGAGTTTATTGTCGGGTGGACAGCCAAGATGTAATGAGGATCAGACACAGCAAGACGATGCCGCATCGAAGGTCTGACTTATGAAGTAAATTACGGGCTATTAGGCAGGAATTCAATGGGGGAAAATAACCAAGGGACAAATTAGCATCAAATATGTTGGAATACACAAAACGTCCACCTCTGAACGTTCTTGTTAAGAACATTCTCCAACAAAGAGATAGGAGGACAGCCCATGGTTGATAGGTATACAAATCCATAACAATAGTTGGACTCATAGGATCCGTGTGAGCAAACTAGTGCAGCAATAGCATCCACTTTGTGATCATCAAAGATTCAAGTGTTCAACTGACCTGTTTGTATGAGGTTAAGAAGTTTCTTGGTGGTCTCCGGGTCGTGCTGTCTTGTGCTATTCAAGTACTGAAGGATGAAGACGCTGACAGCCAAGTTGAGCATGTTCTGCTCCCCACACCTCGACGGTAAATTGATCAGATGCCCCAAATTCTGAAAACCCACAGTAATAAAATTTATTCGCTTTCTAGAATATATTTTTAAAATACTAATCGTTCAATAACTTAAAAAGCTGTAAATGTAAAGACTGTTCACAACTGAAAATATTATATTAAGAAAAATGTCATCTAGCTCCAATCCTCCGATGACAACAATAGACTATTGCCTGTACTTTGCGTTTATAATAGTAACACTATCCTAAACGGAGTGTGCTGGCCAAGGTATGTAACTGACCCTATACTATCCCAATATTTATTATCACTTATTAATCAGCTTTATGAGACATGAACTTACAAAATGTGAAGCAAGCAAGTAGGTAATTATTAAAAAGTGCCAAGCTGGGAAGACTTATGTGGCACTGTGTCATGGGATACTGCGCTAAATATTACTCGAACGCCAATGTGAGAACAAAAGGATACAAGATGAGCGACAACAAAGGTACGTAATTCAGCAACCATTCTATCTAGAGACAAGTGACCCAGAAGGACGTTTGGAAGCAAGCTTACGACCATGCTGAAGACCAGCAGATTTAACAAGGAGGCGCACTACTGAAAGTGTAACAATGCACTTCAGACAATAAGTATGGCGTCGTTTCACCATCAAATGTCTAAGATTATTTTAAGCACGACAATAGAAGTACCATTCCCATTCCAGGTCATCGCTTTCAGTGCCCTAAGTCGACTTAGTCAACACATTTCCTTCCAAGGACTGCAATGAACTCTTAATTTTTCCCAATGTGGGAGCTTGTATTAGGATATCTTCATAACCCACTTGTTGTGTTCCTTCCGGAAATTCAATATTTGCAATGGCGTTCATAAGTATGTTGAATAAGACTCTTGCTTGGGGGGGGGGCGGCCCACGAGTTCCTTATTCATTATTCTCGAGATTGCTCCGTTGAAGCAGATCATGGCTTTCCTCCCTGTGAGGTCGTCTTCAGTCCATTTCATGAGTCTCCCTTTGACACCCATGCATGCAAGCTCATCCAGGATCACAATCCCATGTGATCCTTGACACAATCCGTTGACAATCCTTTATTATCGTTAATAATGTGAGAGGAGTAGTTAAGATGGACGCGTGAGCTACACACAATCAATGACCCTTACACTGACAAGTGCCACTTCATCAAATATGTTTTCCCCCATTGTCGGTGGACAGCAAGTCAGTTATCGAGCTCCCTCTTAGGGCCAACTACTGTCCCTCGCTAGGATGCAACCCACAACAGTTCCCTAACACCCAGGTACAATGGAACAATCAAAGTGCACCTTCTTTGCACTACAAGGAAAAACACCGCTTTAGATGAACTGAAACGTGTGTAAAGGCCTCGCCCTGCCCTGGAATCCAACTGTGGAGGCAGAGAAGGCGAGTAGTGGCCTGGTCGAAGACCTGACCACGGGGACGCTAAGCCCCAGAGGCACCTCAAGGTAGGTGAACTAACCTGTATGGAGGGTAAGAGGAGGTTGCCCAGAACAGTGACCCAGCCTTGAACAGACGTCTCCACGATGCCCGTCGGGACCTTCACCTCCCACGTCACGTACGAAGTCGACATCATCTCCGTATCTGATCAAAAAAGAAAATTTTAATGATTTTTATAATAAATAGTAATATGGTGCTAGAATTGTAATTACCTTTGGTTAGATTGTTACTACACCTAAACATCTCTGCAAAGACAAGACACACACAAATAGGGCAATAACTTGATGATGATAGCTACGCAATCATTTTAAACAGCAACACTGCTGTCACCCTGTAATATGCAGTGTTGACAATGTTAGTTCATTTTATTAATACTTGACATGTGATGTGCAATGTGAGGTCATACGCAGCATGTGCAGGGCATCAGTGTTCCTTTACTAATACTCACTGTAATGGGTGTAGATATCAATTTTATGCACTAATGCCAAAAGCACCTTGAGGTCTGGTTCATACCTGTTCTGCGATCTCCAATATTTCTGCACCATCACTCACAGGATGAGTATGGGGGGGGGGGTGTACACAATACACTATATTGACGGGATGAGCATGGGGTGCACAATAACTACCACCAACAGGACCAGTATGGGGTGCACAACAACTACCACTAACAGCACCAGTATGGGGTGCACAGTAACTACCACCACCAAGACCAGTATGGGGTGCACAAAAACTAACAGGACCAGTATGGGGTGCACAAAAAACTAGCAACCGCTGGTATCTCACGTGTAGAGCAGACATATCTGGTCCAAACGTCCTCCTGAGGGAGCCCCTCGGCCTCCACAACAATGCCTTTGATCAAACTGTCACTGAAGCAAAGGAATATGTAGCTTAGATATTAAGACATTTGTGCATTATTAACTGAATATTCCACGTGCCAAGCAAATGTTGCATTTTAATGTTCAAATTGTACCGATCCCAAAATTTTAGGTGAAGTTTAGGATTCAACTGACCTGCCTGTTAGCGAAGCGTTGGTGGGCCGACAGACGGCAGATTCGCCTTTATCTATACTGGCCGTAACGTTCAACATAACTGTGCCCACGACGGACGGTTTTATCCTGACCACGTGTACCACCTTGGTCTTTTCGTCCACACAAGCCGCGTGGGCGCCCGCCGTCTCCCTCTCAGACACCACCATCTTGTATTCTTTACTCTTCACTAATTCCACTAAAACCTATAACAATGAGATAAGAACGTTAACCACAGGTAGGGTGTGTGTAAACCACAGGAACGCGGTCTCTAAACCCCAGGACGCGGTCTCTGTGGTATCACTACTTCATAACTATGTAGTATCATAAATTTTTCCCTCCAGGCTCATGCTTTATAGCCAATGTATTGAATTATTGAAGTAAAAACACATTAACCTCTATTAGTATATTGCTGGGGTCTCAAGACTTACGTTATGCACTTATCATGAAGCTGTACATTTAATTATTCTACTTAGTGGAGTTACGGTGGTAGGAAGAAGGCAACAGGGACACACTACTCTTAAGAGTACGTAGTTTGTTACCAGTAACAGAAGACCAACAACCCTGCCAACGGGCAAGGATGGAGGAATGAATAACTGGGTAAAAGTCGGAGTAAGGAATACCTTTACGGGAGATGGGACAAGTTCGGATAGCTTCCTTAGCGGCAGCATCCGCACGATCATTTAAAAAGAGACCAACATGGCTGGGCTGATAAACATATTATAAATTTAAACATTATAAAGTTCCAGAAGTGTGCTTAACGCCTAGCAATTAATCACCTTCAGTGATGAGTATACTGTATACGTATATAGTCTGACACCTGATTAACAAGGCTGATTGGTTCTTGATTAACTGTGTCAGTGGTCATCTTATCAGGTGACATCATAAGTGACCCCAAGTGTTATGTTAATTATGGAACTAGTCGTTTGATCCAGTTATCCTGTAATAAATTGGTACAATTTAACAGTGTTTACCGTCTTGCCTTAGATGAAGTCTATCCTTGGAGTGAAATCAAATAAAAGGAGAGTAATGGATAAACGGTAGCTACGAGCATTATCGATCAGTTATAACTGACGGTTGTCTTACCCAAAACACAGGGCGGTCGACTATCTCCTCAGTACATCATATCAGTGATAATTATATATTCCTGCCTCGTGTCTTATCACACACACAAAGCTCGAGAAAAAAAAACTATTTTGCTCTGATAAACACAAACAACTAATTCACATTGTTCGTGTTGTTTTGAGTAGCCACAACGAAACCTTTTCACATGCAAAACGTACCGGTAATCGACCATCGTGGAAGTTAAAGACCGATATCTTCACCGGCAGGATTTCTCCTAGTTTGATGGATGGAGGGAGGGTGAGATCGACGAAGAAATTGGAGAAGGTGGTTATGTTCACCTTGCTGGAGACGCCAAGACCTTGCTGTGGGTGGACGCACACTGCCATGCCCACCCACTCGGCGAAGATACCAGGCACTGTCACCTCCCGCCTCGCACCACCAGACCTGAAAATAATACGCTTTATGTAGTATATTAACTAACAGAAGCAGCAGCACCCCCACCTGCAGGTGGCGTTCAGAAGCCTCTCCTCATGGAACCATTCACCGAGGGAAGCTACCTAGAGCCGAATGATAGAGGTCTTGTTGAAACTCATTTAGAAATAACTCCCATATCCTATTTGCCTTATTTCGTACTTTTATGCAGTTATTTTTGGTTTTAATTCCTTATTAAACATAACTCTTAGGTCATTTTCACATTCAGACTTCTCATTTTCAAAATTAAAAATTTAAGTAAATCCAAAATGGGTCCTTATTTTTACACTTATTTTTCACTCAGTCACTTATTTTTAACAGCACACAAGACACTGTCGATCCAATCAAGTATCATACAAATATCCTGATATTATCTTGCAATTGAATTAACAAACACAATTTCACAAAGACTAAACCACCATGATCGAGGCAACACGAGCATGTTTCTTAAAGCCTAAAGCTTAAATTATGTGCAACTTACGGCAGCATGAAGAGTTCCCACAACCACGTCTCTGGGAAGAGTGTCCTGTAGGCCCTCTGCGGCTCATCACCTGGGACCCTCCCCGGCCTATCACGTGGGACCCTGCGCGGTTCATCAGGTGGGACCTTCTCTGGCTCATCAGGTGGGACCTTCTCCGGCTCATCACGTGGGACCTTCTTCGGCTCATCACGTAGGGTCCTCTTTGTTTCATCAGCTAGTTTCTTCTTTACTGACTTAGCCACTCCGCCACAATTTGTCATAAAATATGGAAAATCTTGCTTTTCGTTGCGTTGAGAGATCTTACGAACTTCTGTAAACAAGAATAGTGGAAACAACTATAGAATATTCCCGTCTTGAAAACTTGCGTTAAATTATATAGAGGCATCAGAGCATACTACATTGGCTGCAATCTAAAAGCTATTTATAACTTTCTTTCTGCAAGTCAGTAATTAACATTAATTTTGCACGAGTTTACTGAATCAAGTAATATTAAGGTATTATACACAATTATAATACATTAGTCATAATACCTGTACTAGCTTTTATATAGAAAAACAGTGTATTTGTTACACTAGTAGCAGGGAATAATTCTAAACATAGTATACAACCAATATTGGTAACTCGTATAGTGTTATCTGGAAAAAAAATACCATGATGAAATTAATTAGTAGATGGCGCATACTGCTATATTTGATTACTGGCATAAGTTTGATTTTGTTAGTCTGGGTGACAAAAGGTGACCTCGAGTGCTTTCACTAATATTGCCATTATCATTACTAGGCGTCTACTACTATGCTATCAGTACTATTTTTACTATTGCTACATATTCTGCTTCAAGCATGCATCCTTCAGCTGGGAGGGGGAGCAGGTGCTGAGGCGCCGAACAGAGACACGGGCGAGGACTGGGAGACTGGTGTGCAGTTGACATTATCATCTTGAACCAAGATCTTGAGCTGACCCGAGAGAAGGCAACATTAAGCAACACGCAGCAATAGATCGATTGATTAAGATTAAGACACCCAAGAGGTAATACAGGCATGAATAGCCCGCAAGTGGTAGATTTTTTTTGAGGCGTGAATGTGATCTTTGGTCGTGAAAGGATATATTGCGTGCTGTGCTCGCATTTAAATCTTCAGTCCTATTATGTGGCTGCTATCGCGGAGGAGGATACTACTTGACAGTATTTATGAGGGTGTCCGGCTGCTGGACACTTTATTACCAGAAGAGTGGCAGTGTTGATGGCTTCAGGGTGATTACTGCAACATTCAGGAACTTAAAGCTCTTGAACAAATCCACAAGGGCCGTAATGAGGGTTCGAACTTACGTCCAGGGTGATCCTAGACGCGCCTTATCCCACCCAGGACGTAAGTTCGAACCCTCATCACGGCCCTTGTGGATTTGTTCATTTAATGTATCACGCTATTGTGATTTGTGTGTGTCTTAAAGCTCTTCTAAGGTCCTCTGGTTGCTTCACATTCCGGGAGATATTGATGTAGTGGCTTTACCGTGATTGTTTGGCAGAAGATGCAATCCCACTTTGTGGGTTCACCAATTTCCCCAGTTGCATCTTTAACCTAGACGTAGTCTACATCACCGAACTGCTATTTCCCTGTGGATTCCTTTCGGGATATTTCACCTGTCTACCTTGGTGGCCTGAAGATACCATATTGCAGAGGACGAACCTTCTGCTACTCCCTGGTGCAGATGGTGTGCTCTCTCTGCTTTGTCTAGGCGTGGGAGTTTTTTGGTGATGGTGTTTTGTATAAACTCTAGGCTGGGTTGGATTCTTTTGTGGATCACGAGTTGGTAATTTAGCAGTTTCATTGGCTCTCTCATTTAATGGGATTCCAACATGGTTTGGATCCAGTTTAGGGTGATTTCGAGTCTGTTGCCTTTAGCTACTACTCATAGACGCAACAAATCATCAAGTGTAAATAGTGAAGTAAAGGTGAAGGCGATGTGAAGAAGGCGAGGTGAACATGAGATGTATCATGTAACGTGAATAATGTAATATTAGATGTAATCACATGATGTAATGTGACGTGCGATGCCTCATGCGAGGTCCGTCATACTGTGAGATGCATCAGTTGAGGTGAAGTATATAATGTTTTGCATCATGCGAGAGGAAGCATGCGAGGAAAGACGAGTCATTTGAGATAAGAGATGCACAACGAGGAAAGCGAGACATTCGTTCCTACCTTCAATCTTACACGGCCTTGTTTCCAGCTCCAGGTTAGAGAAGACGTGTAAGCCAGCTTCCTGAGGGGGAAAACTCAAACCATTTTAGCCAACCTGGCAAATTCACCACATAATAATGCAGCTTTAGTCATATGCAAGACGTTTACATCGACCACACACAATCGTTTGCCAGACGATTTAATTCTGTGAAAAGTTTCCGTGAATAAGAATTGGCTGGGAACAGGAGAAACTTGACCAAACCTTAAATACTTAATTTACTTAATTCTTAAATACTTACTTCAAACATTGCAAGAGAATCCACATAGTTGGTGTAGTAGGTATTGTATTTTCCAGAATCTGCAAATATTATAGTTATTTTAGATAAATATTTTAAGATAGATTTCATATACACAACTGCACATCTAAACAAATATTTATGATACGCTTCTTCGACAATCACTATAATTATTCACAGTAACAAGGAACACATTACGTTACTTATTGAAACCGTTTATCTATGCCTGGGTATGTATGCAGTGTCAGGACTCCATCCAAGCCTAGCATATGACCTAGCCACTGTCAGTTATTGTAGTTCTCTACCTTTTATTTTTGCTCATTTATTTGTTTTTTGCCATCGAGATAAACTTAGACGAACTTATGTGGTGTCAGAATTAATGAAACTTTGTGGTTATTAAGATGTATTTGTGATAAGAGTGGTAACTAGGATACGAATGGCAGGCGACGTTGGAACTTGTGGACCTTAGGCCGTAGTTACTTTAAGGGTTCACCATGCCATACACGGGGAACCAATCAACGTAAGACACTGGGCAAGTTCAAGACGTCTTGCAAGGGCTAAGATTGACCCAAGCACGTCACTCACCCACGAGACGTGCGTGTTTCTGGGCACTGTTTAGGTACCTAGAAGGCTACAAGGCGGTCGACAGTGTGATACAGAATGAGGAGGTCAAAACTAAAGTGGAAACTGACTGTACCTTGCCTTGATTCCAAGCCCTTCTTACAGTATTCGTTATCCTTTTCGGCATCACTTTTAAAAGTGTAGACCAGGAGATCCACATAACGGAAGAGGACATCAAGGGAGAATGGATCACTTTGAGGTTTCAGGAGCTCCAAACTCTTGTCTATCACACCTGTTCCATAACATTAACAACCATCATTTCTCTTCGTAAAGTGCACGATAACTTCAGAATACACAAAACTAAACAAAATGTAATAATTATAATCAAATAAGCACACGCATTCTAATCAATAAGCATACACAACTATGAGGGTTCAAAATACACTCCCCCTCTCACGCTGCTCTTGGAGATCCCCGTCCACCACTTGTAATGCAGAAGTCACAATAACGTAGCTAAGGATATGATAACCAAACCACACACCAGAAGATGAAGAAACGACAACGTTTCGGTCTGTCCTGGACCATTATCGAGTCGTATGTGTATGCGACTTTTACACACAGGACTTTATGATGGTCCAGGACGGACCGCAACGTCATTTCTACATCTGTGTGTGTGAGGTTTGGGCATCACCCCCTCGTAATGTGTGAACACCGGCCCGGAAACCTAACTATCCCACCGTCTACCCGCTCAAGGCCAAGTGTCTCTCCACTCTAAGTGAAGCAAGAAGCGGCGTAATGGTCCTGATATTCTATTAACACTTTAACAATGCTGCTAAATGTCTCACGGATTCCACTATAATTCTGGTTAAATCAGTCACACACTAGAGATTCATCGTGTTATCTGGTGCAGTAGCCGGCTTGCTGATAGCACTGTGTTGCTTAACCGAAAGTGTATAGAGCTGTGATTTATATAAATCTGCGCGCGCGCACAATTTTTTTGTGGGAAAAAATAGTAAGTAGTAACAGTTGATTGACAGTTGAGAGGCGGGCCGAAAGAGCAGAGCTCAAACCCCGTAAGCACAACTAGGTGAATACACACACATACACCTCTCAAGCTCTTATCTAATACCATGCAACAGATTGGATAAAAAACTACAAGTGTGTGAAATCGGACCAATTACCGGATGGATGAAATAACCTATACAAACACACACACGACAAAACGGTTCGTCCTAAATGCAATATAATCACACAGATTACAATGTTAACAATGGTAATGTGTTTAAAAATACAGTAAAATTGTTTACGTCCAAATTACCTATTCGTTCTTACCAAAGCTACAAAATGAATTTGGTGCTGATGTAAGTTGTATTGTAGCTCGTTGTCCCTGCTTTGCCTGCGACACTGACCATTTCAGATCCACTGGATTAGGAAGGCATCTCTCCACAGGCATCCTCCTGGAGTCTGACACCACCTCTCCGTCGTCGCGCGTGTACCATATCAACACCTGCAACATTACTGTACTATATCAACATCAATGTACGACCCCCAGTCACAGCCGTGTGCCAGGTAAGTCCACTACGGGCTCACCATAGCCAGTGCTACTTGCAACTTTTTGTTCCGAGTAGCTGAATCCAAAAACAACATTGTATGACTTCAACACCAACGTCGTCATTATACTATATCTCACAGTTGTCTCAATGTACATGTGTATAACTGAACACCTATCTTGAGAAGAACGCCCCTATCTTTCAAGAGATGCACAGAAACTTGTTACTCACAAACCAACCAACCAGTCTCGGTCACAATGGACCATGACGATGCAACCACACACTAGCAAGTGAAGGGACGACGACGTTTCGTCGTCTCTTCACTTTCTAGTGTGTGGTTTAGTCAACAGCCGGTCGGCCGAGCGACCTGGGACAGCACGCTGGACTTGTGATCCTGTGATCCTGTGGTCCTGGGTTCGATCCCAGGCGCCGGCGAGAAACAATGGGCAGAGTTTCTTTCACCCTATGCCCCTGTTACCTAGCAGTAAAATAGGTACCTGGGTGTTAGTCAGCTGTCACGGGCTGCTTCCTGGGGGTGGAGGCCTGGTCGAGGACCGGGCCGCGGGGACACTAAAAAGCCCCGAAATCATCTCAAGATAACCTCAAGATAACATATTTCAGCCACGTTGTTGTGACTCCTCGTCTACATACAGGAAGATACAGACATGATATAACAACATACCTTGGCAACAGGGGACGCCGAGACTGGGAGGGTGAATGTGATGTTGATGACGCCGATTATGGCGTGTTTTGGGAGCACAACAGGTGGCCCACCAACCACGTTTTCAGTGTTGACGGGAAGAGCGCTGGCAGTCAGCTCGTATTCCTTACTGCCGAAATATTTGACCTCTCTATTTGCCATTACCTGAAAAAATTGTATTCTGTATTTCTTGCAGTTAACGTTATTCCCTAAACCACTTGATTGGCTTAGGATCATCGTGGACGAATACAGTATGTATATAGTACAAACATGTTGTGCCATCGTTCTCCATAAAAATACCGAGATCAGTAACAGAAGGTGGAGAGTGACTATTATTGACTTTAGGGAAAGAGTTGAAGTATACAAATGTGAACAAATTTAGAGCAATGGTCACCGAATGGGAGACGTAATCAGGAGAAGTGCAGACATGACGGATCTGAACAGTCAACACAGGATGACTATTTTGTGGGTTTTAGAGGAAGACAAAGAGAGACGTTCGTGAAGGTGAAGCATTTGCTGAAACTTCATGAATGTAAATTTCTAACAAAATAAAAAATGTAGATTTAAAAAAAAAGGAACGACTTTTTACAAAAAAGTATTTTGAGAGAAAGTTATCAGCTTGACTGATGAACTAAGAGGACAGGAGGAACAAATTAAAGAATTAATCATGGAAAATAAGACGGCGAATGTGAAGGGGGAAGAATTTCAAGAAATAAACAAAGATAAACGAATATGGACGAACTCAAGACCAACTCAACACCTTAGCCAAAATACCGAGTTTAGCAAGAATTTGCCAGCAGAAAATTCGTGGACCGCTCAAATGGAGGTTACTAAAGTGTTAGAAAAGTGTAAGAAATGAAAGAAACCAGTGCGCAAGTAGAGAGAATAAGAAACAAGACTGAGATGACAGCCCTGGTCTGGTCAATAGGTAGAGCCTGCTCCTTCACATGGACACTGATGGTCCACTGATGACACTGATGGTCCGGTCAACAGATAAAGCCTAGTCTCTCACCTGGACCGTGATGACAGCCCTGGTCTGGTTAACAGAAGAGAACAGGACGGAAATGTTGTGGTTGTTAGGGCCGCTGGAGTTGCAGCTGAGAGGTGCCTCGGGAGCCTGGATTAGCAGGGAGGCGTTCGATGCAGAGAAGAAGTGTTCAATTGTTCTGACACGCCTGGTACTGTCCATGAGGGCCCGGATGCTTGGTGCCGTAATCTGTTGATGCAACGATAATATAATATATATAGAGTTCGTACATTCTTGTACAGCCACTAGCACACAAAGCGTTTCGGGCAGGTCCTTAATCCTAATTTTCCACGGAATACGACCCGCCGAATAGTTTAACAACCAGGTACCCATTCACTGCTGGGTGAAGAGGTTACAGTTAAGGATTCCCGCCCAATCAATCCTCCCCAGCCTGGGTATGAACCAAAGTCAAAGCGCTTGCGAAGCACTGGGCGAGTGCTTTACCACTACGCCACGGGGACTGCGAATGAAACTAACCTAATCTAACCAAACTAAACCTTAAGCAACATCCAGAGAGATATGCAGCTAACCAACATCCTCCTACTCCTCCAAATGCATAACACGAAGAATAATCCCAAAGGATATACAGATTTACCAAATTAAATAAAGATTAATTGGCAGATGAACTAGGGACCATATATATAAATAACCAAGAAAGCTTACTATGAGCCCCACTTACCGTAAACTGGTTAGCAGTTGGCGAGTAAACCAGTGCTGTAATAATACCATCGTCAGGAGAGGTGGCGTTAGTGCAGACCTCTCCTGCACACATCTCCACGGGCACGTCCACAGCAGGCGACTTGTCCGGGAGCTCGGCCTTCACCTGAGACAAGTTGAACACCGTGGTACACACACATGTTTACACAACCCTCATACTCAAGACCCTTTTACATCCTTCTGTAAAATATCAGTCCATTTACTGGTAACACTGCAACTGTGTTTAAAGAGGTAGCGTTAGTTGTCAAAAAAATACGTCATTCACTATCTAGACTTAATTACTTGAATGGGAATTTCTACAATTTGATATGTTCCGTGATACTGTTTTTAACGATTTACAAAAAAAATTACCTTCATCGTTACTTTAACTTATAGAGACAAGTGGCCCAAAGTAATCGCCAACAAAACCTAAACACCTAACCTAACCCAGTGTCTAAATATGTACAATATGCTAATATAAAATAATATTAATTTATATTTGAGAAAATTCTTGCTTTGACTGAAACAGCATGTAAAAATTTATGAATGCATCTATGGGGTCGACCGCTGGATGTAATGAACCGAGTCGAGGACGGGTTGTGAACCTGGGCTGGTGTCACTCATCAACGAAGTATCCTTTTGTTTACGAAATGATCAGTTATTAAACAATAGCTGATGAACGAAGGATAGCGATAAAGACGAACGAGGGCTGGTGTCAGTAATGCAAGGAGAAAAATCAAGGTGCCATAGTTAATGAGTCTTAAGATGCTCATGTTTCTGAAGATGCTACCGGGAGAAATACTTATGGTGATTTTGGTTTAAGATGTTTATGAGAAATTTGAAGCAAAGATCTAACAGGAAAAAAAATGGGCTTAGCGAGTGCAGTTATTCACCCTTGTTAGTGGCGTCCATGTTAGGTAATTACAAGGCCAGACTATAAGCTGGGATATGAAGACTAACTAAAAAAACACACTGACCTTACTTCTTAAGGGTGAAGACCTAAGACAATAAAGAACAGTGGGTGTAAATAAAATAATCCCACTCCTGCAAACCTGTATGGTGTATGGAAGGTTTGGCTTCATGTACTGATCCTTTCCCAGGACTTTTAAAGTGATGGCTTGAGAGAGGAGAGAGATTTGGACCGTCTCTGTCACCTGAACACCTGTCCCCTTTTCTGTCACTATGGCTCTCAGCTGTACTAAGTTTACTAAGCAGTCTATCACCCTTATATCTTTGGAGTATACATCTAGATTTTTGCACCCGGAGATCTGAAAATAACAACATTTAATATTTCACATTAAACATCAAATACAGCATACATGTTGCCTCATAATATCCCTGGTCGTTTCCCATTACATCCGCGGGGCTAGATTCAGGAAGCAGTTACTCAAGTTCTTAGGAAACCTAGCCTTCTTATCGCTTTCTTGGCTGTTACGTTGGGATTCAATGAACCGTTTCTGAAGGCTGCTCTTCCCGAGCACACACCTTCACGCCAAGACGCCTCTAGAACACACCAACCTTCACTACACCGTACACAAGGCTAAATTTCTCGACTACACAACGGGGAACTGAAAATACCTTCGCCAGGAGATCCCGACATGGCAACAATAAGTTGTGTCTGTATATATCGAATATTAAATAATAAGGACTAAATCCTTACCTCACCTAGGCAAATATATTGGAGTAGAATGCAGACTTTAATGTGCTACAATACTCTATTAATTTACTTAAAGTACACCTTGACAATATTATAAACATTGGGAAGCCTCAATAATAATTTGTATAAAGATGATACTGGTGGCAATTATTATTTATTATATATGTATTATTATTAGAGATGATCTGTTGATCTTTGGTGACGAAGACACCAAGGAGCAGCAACGCATGTCACAGGTTATATCAGTAATTCAACCTTGGGGGAGAGGGAGACCTCGATATAATCCTAACGTGTATATATATACACTGGCTCCCTGTTCCCCCCCCAAGAGTTAACTCTTAATAATAACTAATAATTATCACAGTCCAATAAGTTTAAAGTCGTTCCATCCAGCTATACCGGCTTGGCCCTTTTTGTGAACCCGTGTTATTCATATGCCATAATACCTTTCCCACTCTGTGCGTTACACTAGCCTTCTGATTAATCCAGTCACTCCATACACTAAATACGTGACATTTGTAAACGCATAAATTTAACATTTTCCATGGAATATACATATATACCTTTATATATGGACGATTTTCTGGCCTGATGAGACAGGGGTCTGAAGGACACTTGTGTTGGTGATGGGTTCACGCAATTTGCTATGATCTAATTTCTCACGTGGTGAGAGCAGGCTGAATATAACTCTGGTCATTCATGACTACCGTAAACACTCACAATTTACAGCATGTTGGTTAATTCCTTTCTTACGTGTGCAATTAGCTGGGAACGTTTAATTTGTATAATAAAAGTCAATTAGATATGACTGAATTAAGATAATGATTCAATTTATTATGTCAAATAATGAAAACGCGTCGTAACTATGGCATTTGAGAGACATTTTTCCACTATAGAATTTCAACATGAATCTGGTTTTGCTTAGAAATCTAAATACTTACCAATTTTTTATATCCATCTGGCAACTTTAACAAATACAATTTAAAAATGTATTATGCAGAAACAAATCATAATTTGAAGAGTTCTGAATCATGTAAGGGGAGGGGAGGACCATTCGACTCAAAATATTAAAAATATTAAGTTTGATACCATGTTGTAGTTTTTCCAATTAAAAACTATTTTGTTTTCCTTGAATCCTACAAGAAAACACGAAATTAAGCTTCAAGTATCTAAATTTTAGGAATTTACATCATAATTTGATTAATTTTATCTTCTGTACTTCCAGAAAGACTATAGAATTTACATACTCACATTTTTTTAATTTCCATATTTTTCACCTATCATTTGCAAAAAAAAAAAAACTTTAAAAAAAAAAAAAGTTTCGACAGAACTAGACACTCCAAAGGTTCAAAATATATTACAAGATAATATCAAACTAAAAAAGACTGGAATACCTTGCCTCTGTAAGCAAGTGATGAAAGCTTCAACTAATAATAGAGACTTACGGTGTTCGACATGTTGAAGGCGACCTCACACGCCCTATTCCCAGTGTTGTTGACTTCAACCGTGAGGTTACCTTGTACCGCCTCGCCATGGCTGTACCTGTCAACCCAGTTATCATGAGAACGATCACGTACGGTACACTTTTAATAATGGTTCATGTTTAATGGCTTAATGGATCACCATTCCTTCCCCCCCCCACCCTTATTTCCCCTCACCCAACCCCCATTCGTAGAAAATTATAAATAACGAAGAATTAAACTGGTGAATAAGTCTACGAAAACTAACCTTCATTACTGACTTTACTTCATGAAAATGAAGTAAAGACACGGGACACGGACGGACGGACACACACTGTTTAACATAAAAATATGAACGAGGACTCACATGGCGCAGACTGAGAAGTTGAACTGTGTGTTTGTGACGTAGACATAGGTAGGGGTCTCGATCACCACCTCAAATTGCGACAACACATCCTCCTTCACCTCGAACTCCGAAGTATAGGTTATATTGTCCGTAGTCCTAACAAGAATATAGTAGATTCCCTGGTGCAAAACATGAGATGTTAGTACGAAGATTTTGCACGTAAGGCAAGCCTGTAAACAGCCGTGAAAATTATAACTTTATAAATAAATACGTCACTGTAAATGTATAGAAGATCCATTACAGATTTTTGCAAGATTATAAATGCATTTCATATGTTTGAACTACTGGAAGACTGTAGTAGCTGAGTTACACACACAAATCACAATTGCGTGATGCATCAAATGAATTAAGGCAGCGTCTGGGATGCTCTCGGACGCAGGTTCGAATCCTCGTCACGGCCCTTGTGGATTTTTAGTTGCCGAGGTTGTGCTGGTGCCTTGGGTAGAGCTATCATCTCAAACTTTGTCTTCTCAACCTTTAGGATTCACAGAATAAAAAAAAAGATGAAACGTGTACGCACATGCTGGTGATAAGCATTATACAACAACGACATATACAAATATCTGGTAATGACTCATTACACATCTGCAAATATTTTGCCACATTTATACATCAAGTGTAATATCTATAGCCAATGTTTTTGTCAGTGTGTGTGTGTTGATTTTGTTTTCAGACATAAGCGTTTCTTCCCTGATGAACCGTCCTTGGGTTCACCAACTCTACCCCTGTGCCCGGGTTCACCAACTCACCAGCTCGGGTTCATCAATGAGGTTCACGTGGAGGTGTACAAGACCAGCCGAGTTGTCAACATGTTCCCACCTGGCGATATGGTAGAGGGAGGGCTCGGGGGACATCACCGACACCCGCGGGTACTGTTGATAACAGACACGTTTATGTGGTACTCAAATACAAGTCTCAACTAGTAATCATATTTACCACTCTGCTTATAATCAAGTACAAATCTAATTATCAAAAGAACATATTGTAGCATCGTCCACGTTACGGGATTTTCAAGAGGGGCTATAAAGACACCAATACGAGACCAAAAGGCCACAAGGCGAGTGACATCAAAGGTATCAGATTTACCAAGGATTCTAACTTGGGTGAGAATAGCTCGAGCTACCTTATCCTTTGTGTGTATTTATACCTCAATAAATCTCCACTGTTCCAATGGATAACATACGGAAGAGCGCGGTAAACTTACTGGATTGGTAGAGACACTGAAATTCGGGTAGGTGAAAGAGACGATCCTAATATGGACCGTCTGGGTAGGACGATAGAGGTACTTGTCTGTCTGGACGATGGTCCTCTTGTCGTCGTCGAGAAAGACGAGCTCGGCCGTATGGTTGATCATCTTCCCGTCCACCTCACCCGTCACCGACAGGACGTTCCCGTAGTCATGATACACAGGTCTCGTTATATTCACGTTATAGCAGAACTCTGTCTCTCCTGCAACACACACCACACCATGTACACACTCGCCCTTTAGTTCTTCAAGAGCAAGTAACTTAAAATGGCAAGTTTGAATAGTAAATAAATGCGAGATCTTATTTCAAAGTAGCATAAACTGCATATGTTTTCATTGTCAATTAGGAAATGTGACTAAAATGTACACTAAAATAAATATACTTGCTTGACAGGCAATTTTACCGGGTGGTACTGCAATGGTGGTGTTGGGGAAGAGAACGGTGACCTCGCTCTCGTCCAAGCGTGTGACGCTAAGGATGAGGGAGCCGGCCGGGGAAGCGGTGTCATTCACTATCACACACACCTGACTTGGCTTCCCTACCACCCACTCCTGCGGCGTCGTTATCACATAATTCCTGTCAACATACACACACTGAGGTGACATTGGAAAGGGCCCCCCCGGCCCTCATTCCACCCTTAATTATAAACAGGTTTGCCGATCCCTAGCAACACAAACTCGTTATACTTTTCACCAATATGTTAAACAATAGAAACGTAAGTAAAGGGGGAACGGGTAGGCTTTCATTAAGGGAGTAAACGCACTGGTGAAACTTCTAGAACCTTGTGTTCACTCAGATATTCGAAGCCCTAGCGCAAGGCAATCAGATTATCGGACACGAAGGAAGCCAGCCAATGAGAAGGGAGGAGTTGGTTGAGCGTAAACTCCATTTAAAGCATAAACACTTTTAAAGCTTGTAGCCGGTTTTCGGTTATTTTCGTGTCTCCAGGATTTAAAAATGTTATATATTCCTTCAAGAAGGAGTGCAAAAGCCCAGCGGACTTTAGTTAACCCAAGAGTGTAGATTCAAGGAAGAATTAGCTACGAAACCGAGTGTGAGGAGTAACTTCAATCCCTGCCACATTCCCAGTGGTTTGTATACCTTGAGTAACCCGTCAACAACAACAAATGATCTATAATCCTGCCATTAAATGCTTTGTTTATGAATGATACACACTTTACACACGACTCTTAAGTATGTAATTTTTCTTGAGCAGTGCTTTGATCATGTCTTCTGCTGGAATCGCATCTCTATAAATGTTTCATTCACTGACTAAAATATCAATAATGCCCAACAGAACCTAACCTAAGTTAGGCCCAACTATAAATTCAGCACATTCTATCATGAAATAATTTCGCCTTAAATTTGAGAAAATAAACATTTTGAACACGCAGTTCGTCAAAACTGAAGAATGCGTCTTGTTAGGCCGCCTCGACGAGCCTACGCTAATGAAAGATAGTTTTGAGGAGTAGAGGCTTCACGGACATACGATACAACCCACAACTGGCAATATTTGTTCGTTACGTTTCCACTCGTGTAAATGTGAAAGAAGAGAATGTTGGACTTTGTGATATTAAAAACTTAAAGAAACAACTCGTGAAGACATTAAAAACACCTTAAGAAATGCTGATGTTCCACTGAACAAACTCGTCAGAGCTGCAACAGATGGGGCATTTACAACAGTTTAAAAAACTACATGCATAAATATTATTCCATTTAATATGAATATTTTTTATTAAATTTGATAAAATTTGTTTAATGTGTATGTAAAAAAAACTTCGTGTAAATTCTGTTCATATTCAACAGCTCTTTATAATCTGTGGCTCTAACAATCAGTAAGTTTGGCCACCCCTGATATATGGCATCAGATATAATTCATAACCTTTTATCGCAGTGCCTTCAGGTCCTGGACATGTTTCACCCCCTCCCCCTTAGGAGGAAGGCCTGACACTTTAATCACTAGCGATGCGCATCGCCTGGTTGTAAAGCGAACCTCTACATATTTAGCGTTTGTGCACAATCGTCACTGCTTCCCGTGACGACATAATATGCTCGAGGAGGATTGAATTAGGTGTTTCTCAAACGATGCCAGTTGTTGATTTAGTTTTCATTAGTGTGGAAGGCGGCTGGAAACGTTGTCAATATTTTATTTGAATTTACGTTAAAAATATTTATTATCCAAATATTGCGGGTAAGAAACAAAGTGGAAAGCACGAGATAATTTAAAATTATACGTAAAAAAATGTATAAAGTAGCAATACAATCGGCGTACATATTTAATCACCCAAACTAAGGGTGATTGTGATTGACCCAATCACCCAATACTAGAGTGTGATTGAACCCCCACTGTAGTATTTCTTTAGTATTGAATATTGATCAGGCCTGAAGTATACGTGCAGGAGGGTCACCAAGCTTGTGGTAACCTTAATAACTTTCGAGTTTGTCTTGTCTTAAACCCACTAACCCTGGCGTCAAGGGTGGGCGTGTGGGGGGAAGATAGTTATCGCGACTTTATCCGCTTAAGACGACGAACGCGAGACTATTAGCTACGAACTACACCACATCTCACCCACTGCAGACGGCGAGACAGAAGATAAGGAGCACCAAGGTGAAGACGGAGCTGCAGGTGGTGAGGAGGCCGGCGGGCGTGACCACACGCCTCGAGGTCCACATGGCTACTGACCCCCCCACCCTGGCCGGCGGCGCCTCCCACACTAGTCTACTTCACCTTAAAAAAACCTCTTTCATGAATAATTAATACAATCAGAATTGTATTCCAAGACAAGATAACTTTCAGAAGAAAGCGCAGAGCCATTATGACTATACCACTGGAGGCGTGTTGTATATAACAATAAAGTGAGAATCACAGGCTTTTATTCGTAATAAATTGTACTACAACTACAATCAGAAACTTATTCGAAGGCAAGATAACTTTCAGAAGAAAGCGCAGAGCCATTATGACTATATACCACTGGAGGCGTGTTGTATATAGAACACAAAAATGAGAATCCGAGGCTTTTATTCGTAATAACTTGTACTACAACTGAGCAGGACTGCGGTAGTAGAAGGTGCAGTGGTAAAACAATTGTCGGAATATCAATAGCAACAGTAACAGTAGTTTGCTTTAATGTTGGCCCTTAACAGTAAATTTTCACTGCATCAACACTAAGAAACGGGATACGCATCTCTGAGTAAACATCTTCATGTAGAAATAAAAACTAAACTATAGATTTAAATTTAATACTTTCATGCGTTAATGTGTGTATATATCTGTACAAATTCATGATTTATTTTTTGTGAAATGGTTTCACAGCTATACTCTACGTACTTTTTAAAAAGTTAAATGCATAATTGATTAAAGAAAATGTAATATTAATAGCCTAGCATATATCATTATAATAGATTATAAACTAAAAATCTTAAAAAATCTGTAATAGCTCCAAAATCATGTTAGTCCTGACGCTGAGGAAGTGGAATAAGCATAATTGTTTACAAGTGAGTGCATTAATGTATATATATATTATAAAAGATAGGACCGATAACAAACTAATTTAAAGCATTAAGAAGCATATTGCCGATTTACTACTGCAAGCTTTAACTGTACAATGTGAAGTTTTTCAAGGTACACCACCTCTGCTAGCTTAGACTTCACTTAAAGTATTGATAGGTTCATGAATCTAACGATCAATCTACCAGTCTTCCAAACATTGATTTAGAAACGCTAACAATGAGTGACGTGTTTATTATTGAATAATAACCCACCAAAACCCGTCTATTATTGAAAAAGGGGTTTATACTCAAAAACGGTAGAACTCGGCACAATTGAGTTGGACAAACCGGAAAACAATTTTCTATGTTGCAAAGAATCTAAACTAACCAAACCTAACCTTCCCAAGCCTAATACGCGATGTCTGAGGCCTAATACAGTACATGTGTATGCTGTATTAGCCTTATATATAGCCTAAGCCTTATATTATATATAAGGCTAAGGAATATTTGTTTAGCCCAATTGTTTTTCTGACTATAAGGTGAATAGTACATAGTTCAACTATCTAATTGCTTAGAATAGCAATCTTTGTACCAAGGAACACGGTTACAGAAACTACTATCCAAGCAGGAAAATGGGTTAAAATCACTATACCTTAACTTCTAATACATAATAATGCTAATAATAATACCATTTTTATATTTGAAGAAATGTCGTATTTAAACACACACAATTCGTAAAAACTGACGAACACGTTACTTAAGGGGTTCGGGCCCCGCTCAGGAAGAGCCTGGCTTGGTACACGAGTAGAAATATAGTTTATTTAACAGGACGCTACATAGCCTAATCGGTTCCATTACCTGCTCATAGCCTAATCGGTTCTGATCTTCGGGTCTAGGCCTGGTTCCCAATACAAAAAAAAAATTGTAGAATATCAAACATTAAAGATCCTGCTCTTTATCAGTATATTCATATTTTAGTAATGGAGTAAATAATGACAAATAATGAATCTAACATGACAGCCAAGTTGCCGAAGCTTCGTTAACTATAAGGAGCACTGCCAATTATGAATAGTGAATGATTCTAACCTCATGGTTAGATCAGCACCTCCAAAGGAGGTGCTGATTAGCACTGGTTAGCACCTCCAAAGGATACCTAATCAACCTGGCTGTGACTCGTACGTCAGGCTGCGAGCAGCCGTGTCCAACAGCCTGGTTGATCAGTCCAGCAACCAGGAGGCCTGGTCAACGACTGGGCCGCGGGGACGCTAAGCGCCGGAAGCACCTCAAGGTATGGTTTATTGAAGTATAAAATATTTTCACATTTGCCATTTATTGGCAGATGTGCTATTCATTTTACTATTTCATTCAGTGGGCGCCTGTAGCAGTATACAGTGGGCGCCTGTACCAGTATACAGTGGGCGCCTGTACCAGTATACAGTGGGCGCCTGTACCAGTATACTGCCTCACTTAACCAGTAACCGGGTTCTTCTCATACCAAACTTTACATGCGGCCTTAGTGCCTCTTCTTACTGGATCTCACCCAGAGTCACAGGCAAGTTACTAAGAACTGGCAGTAATAATCATTCTAGAGGAAAAGGGGGTAAATAACACTAAACAGATCTATCACCAACTGTACTTCTTAACTATATATACACATATGTATAGCACATAACACTGCAGGTGGCACAGTCACACAGGACACCAGGGAGTCCACTTCTATCTTCTAATCGTCCAGGGGTCTAACGACACGCTGGCTGGGGTCACCACATGACAGAACCTCACCCCAGGAGAAATGACAGCATGCTGCTGACGTCATAATGTATTCTTCCGTATGACCACAAGTTGACGTCTGGCCGTGACACGTGACCAAGTGGTCCCACTGTAGGTCGGGTCAGGACCGCCAATGTCAACCCTGGATGACCCCAGGGCACCTGAAAATGTTGTGACAAGTACTGTAGCACCATGATTCTTGCTGCATCATTTGTTCCAACAATGATCGAATGTTGCTGGGAGCCTTTAGCCGCACTCTATAGTCTCGAAAAAACTACGTAATTATTATTAATAAATTGTAGTTAGTGCTTGTATAAACAATAGCTCATCTTAGTCGTTTTATACTTGTAATCAGTATTAGATTTTGCGAATTCAGCGCGTTATCATGAACATGTTGGGAGGCCTAGTAGATAGAGGGTCAAGGCGCAGGCGGCGTGGGCGGGTAGCAGGCTCGCTCCAGCTTGTTGATAGTGTATATACCTCATGCCTTCACTACACAATATTATTGTAACTGTGCCAGTTCAAACCAAAATTATGTCACTGGGTACTGGAGTATTAACAATACCCGCAACGGTACGGCACGTGAAAGATTGAGCAAATAATGCTGGAGAGTGGAGGTGGTGGCGAAGCTTGGGCACTAGAGCGCCCCCAGCAGGGCACACTGGCAGTGGTTCACCGCCGGTGTATGCAGCAACACCCTCCAGGCAGTGCCAGAGCCCTGGTCGGAGCAGTGAGAGTGACTCAGGTGGTCTGCTAGTGGCGTGTGGGTAAACCGGTGACACAGTACGATGAAACTTTCAAAGATGAACCAGACCGTCCCTGATAGTGCCCGACGCCGGGTCTGCATCCTGGGTATTGTCAGCATGGTAAGATCTATCTCCTTTACACTACATAGTCGACTCCACAGTCTGTTACACTCTTAGGGCTGCCGGTCAACATTGCCCATTAGGCTATGTCACGGATAACAATCAAAATATCAGTGCCGTGAAAATTTATCTAGAGGAAAAGCGCTTATTGCCAAGCTGGGGCCAACCGAATGATGCATTCAGACTCGTGATTCAACCTTGACGATGGGCGGACGTCTGGGAAGTTCATAGATGTATCCGTTTTCCGACTAGCTCTTCGGGGAAGGGAGACGGTGTCCGGCGCGGATTGGCAGAGAGGTGCCGGTGGGTTGGCGGGGCTCCCGGCCTGCCTTTAAGGTGTTGGTGGCGGCAGTCTTTTGCTCTGCCGAAGGGCACTAGAAATTTTTTTACTTATTTGCTCATTTGAGCAAGATTCTATGAGGGGCCATCGAGATTTTGCCGCGACTTTGTTTGACGACCCAATGCTGTCTGTGCGGGTCTGGGGCCAGAGCCTTAAAATTCCTTCCTTAGGGACTCTTGGGGCTCCGCATATCTGTTTACCAATGTGTTTATCCGCCACAGATCGCGTTAGTTTCCGCTGACAGGCGACTTTAATACTGATGCAAGGCTTTGTGTTTTACCCTCCATGGGCCGCTGGGGCTTGTCCTGCACCTCTCTCGTCGTAGTGCTTAAATAAAAAATACACATTCATCAATTTTTAACATATAATTGCTAACTCTACAAAGCAATATTTGTAGAATGTGGATGAAACATTCAGAAAAAAGAGAGGTGCGATGAGAAAGTGAGTGAAGCACTGTTTAGGAACATTTCTAACACAATCACTGTTAAATCCTGTGTAACGCAGCCCATTATCTTAAACAGTGGCTAAATGTTTGTTAATCCAGCCGCCGCTTACCCCGTGTTTATGAAAACAACTGTACACTCAACCCATCCTGCCCAAGTTATAAGTCAAATACTGACCTTCGTTGATATAAAAGCAATTTTTTTTTACTTATACTTCAGAGAATTGATAGTTACCCACTTGGAGCTTTCGGTAGAGCTACGACCTTGCCTCTTGTTTGTTCGACGTTCGATCCCCGATGGTCCATGTGGTTGGGTACCGTTCCATCACCCATTCCTCATCCTAGATCCTTGTCCTCGTATTCCTTCCAAGTGCTGTATATCATACTATCTTAAGAACGATAAAGATACATTTCTTAACACATTTTCTTCACAAAAAATCCCTCCTGTGGATTTTTAATGTCAAGTCTAGAACATCGGTTGTGTTGTCCGTAGACTTATTTGCAAGTTTCATTTCACTTGTGTAATTTTTCAGAGGATAAGAGCGGAAAGGAGAGGGAAGGAGAAGGGACAGATTCTGAGATTTCTTAAAGTGTGACAAAAGAGGCGGCCGCGACTGGCCTATGACGCTCCCCTGCCTCATATGCTTCATGTGTCAAAGTTGAGCGAGGTTAGCGCCAAGGGTCATCCAGAACACACTAAAGACAGAATCTATGGATAACGATATATGTTTATTCATTTTAAATTGGCTTATTTCTTACTGGAATATTCCATGCCATTCAAAAACTAAAAATACCGATATAGGCCTTAATATCCCTCTTGTGGTTGATAGACCATATTAACCTTCCCGTTACACACACATCACACTAACGTGATGCATCAAATGAACAAATCCACAAGGGCCGTGACGACGATTCGAACCTGCGTCCGGGAGCATCCCAGACACTGCCTTAATCGACTGAGCTACGACAAGGTAAAAGGGTTGAAACCGAAGTTCTACTGAACTTACTGGATCCCGTAGCCTCTCCGAGGCACAAACCAGGATTTTACACCCCCCCCCCACGGCTACGGGATCCAGCAAGTTCAGTAGAACTTCGGTTTCAACTCTTACCCTGTCGTAGCTCAGTCGATTAAGGCAGTGTCTGGGATGCTCCCGGACGCAGGTTCGAATCCTCGTCACGGCCCTTGTGGATTTGTTCATTTAAACCTCCCGTAGTTGGTAGGCCTCAGGTATGGCTTACCTACCTAATCAGATATGGGTAGGCCACTGATCCCAAGAGATTAGCAGATGGGGTAATGAAAGACGACTGTGAACACTGCCCAAAAATGACTGACAACCTGCAAGAGGCAACTACTTTATCTTAATAAAATATCTCTACCATAAAAATTGTCACTTTGCCTAAACATTCAGGTTCAAATATGAGTAAATATATACCGACCGTAACTGGCGCCGACGACCCTTGCGCCCTGTACGATAAGAGTGATAACGTTACAAGTAAAATAAAGTGTATATACTAGTATAAAGCCATGATTCATTATCTACATAACTTAGTAATTTTTTATACGATTCAACCCATTTGAGAGAATCTAAAAACCATTTTCAGGAAGTGATCCTGGACCCGTATGTGGTACTCCAGTAAAACAGACATACCATGGTACACTCGAGGTAGTTTGATCATATATCTAAATAATTTATGATGTTTGACCTCCACAGCGGAATAGTTTATAACGCGCGCACTTAAAATGTCAGTACTGGTGACGCGTGGCGTGTTTCAGGTGATGGCCGCGGTACAAGTGGTGGCGCTGGTGGTCAAGCTGAGCTTTGTCGTCGCCCCCCAACACCGCGACATTCAGGGTAGGTACCCGGCACCCCTCACCCTCCCCTGCCTGCTCCTGCTACAACCACTTCCCTGTCTCTCACACACACACACACACACACACAATCTGTACACCAGTTGATTGACAGTTGAGAGGCGGGACCAAAGAGCCAAAGCTCAACCCCCGCAAGCACAAATAGGCGAGTACACACCACACAATAAAAGGCTGTTACAAAAGTTGGAGCAACAGGCAGGAGTAAAAGGTAAAAAAAAATAATGTGCTTCAGTGGATAAGGGAGTATCTAAGCAACGGAGTAACTGAGGGGGCGGCGGGACATCAGAGTGGCGAGATGTCACCAGCAGGGTCCCACAGGGCTCTGTACTTTTACCAATCTTGTTACGGTACATGTAAACGAGCTTCCAGAGGGTAGACATTCCTCTCAATGTTTGCTGATGATGCAAAAAATTATGAGAAGATTCAAGATTTATGAAGGAAGAGACCACAGGACGACCTGGAAGAATGTCTAGAAAATGGCTACTAGAATTTAACTCTAAAAAGTGTAAAGTAATGAAATTAGGTGAAGGTAGCAGAAGGTTAAACACTAGGTACCATCTGGGAGGTGAAATCCTGCAAGAGGCGGCCTGGTAGAGGACCGGGCCGCGGGGACGCTAAGCCCCGAAACCCCTCTCACGTATCGTCAAGATAAAGGTCAAAGAGATCTGAGGGTTATCACACCGAACCTGTCCCCAGAAGCCCACATAAAAAGGATATCATCAGCGGCATATCCTAAATTTGCCAACGTCAGAATTTCCTTCGAAAGCTTTTGTAAGGAATCGTTCAGGACCTTGTATACCACTTGCGTTAGACCAATCCTGGAGTATGCAGTTCCAGCCTAGAGTCCATACCTAGTTAAGGCAAAGTTAGAGAAGATTCAGAGGTATGCCACCAGACTCGTCCCAGAACCGAGAGGTACGAGCTACGAGGAAAGGCTACGGGAGCTAACCTTACGTCTCTGGAAGAAGAGCAAGGAGAGACATGATCACCACCTACAAAATTCTCAGGGAATACCTAATCTTCCAGGCTATTCCCAGATACCTGGGACCAAGTAGTAGTTAGTTCCAGATACTTTTTTACAGCTACTGCTTATGGACTGCACCCTGGGGATGTGCGAGTCAGATATGCAGTATGCAGATACAAAAATAAGCCTGGGAATCGACACATTAGACGGGTAGAAAGGCGGGATCCAGAAGATAATAATTCAATCCAGTAGAGACAAATAGCACACACTTTTGTACTATAGATACTGGTAGTTATGTTAAATATTTCTTCAACACTTTTATTTGTACATTATTAAGAGATCGATTGCGATATTTGTTAAAAAGACTGAGCAGAGTAGCGTGAAAATTATATAGAGTGAATGAAAAAAAATTAAATAGAAAACTGGTGGTTTAGCTTCGCAGGAAGGTCTTAAGAATAATGATTTATATATTAACTCGAGTAATTTCCCTGCTTGTGGGTAGTAACGAGGAAGGTGCGTGAATACACAAAGTTGACTAATTAATGCTACATTTCCCCGTGTGATGTTGGCAGTGTTGGCGATGTGCGGCGGGATGGCTGCCACCATTGCTGCCTACCTCCTCCTCACCACCAGACTACTCTTCCTCTTCTACAAGGTCAGTACCCGCACAACTTATTATTCACTCTTGTCCAGCCTCCCAATATATAATTACTTATTGTTACGGCCAGCTTGGGCCAGTAACAGTTCTTACTGTTAACGTGTCTTATAACTTCTTTATCCTACGAACTCAATGGTAAGTTTAAGAACTGGATGTGGCAAGTAGTAGTGCAAAGAATAAAGGGAGGGTAAACTGTATGCAATTACACCTTCACCAATATATTATCACCTTCAGCAGTATATATTATATATATATTATCCAAGTATTACTGTAAATATTTACACTGTCGCGTTCACTCGGGACACTCAATAAATTTGCAATGTTCATCAAGTCCCGGCAAGTCCACTACCTTCACATATACGTCGTCCTTGCTGAATGGCAATCACCAACGAGTTCACCTTCGACGTGGGCCAGTCCACACATCGTATCGTCACGATGTCCCAGTACCCCCACCATCTTCTCTCCAGAAACACTGGCAAAAGGCTTCAGCCACAAGCTGACACGGGTCTCAAATAATTACTTACAAGGGTAGCTAACACCCTGGCAGAAGTCACTAGCAGCACTTCTCAACAGACGCACTACTGTCGTCTCTTAACTCTTCTTGGCCAATTCCCGGGAACGTCGGTCCATACAAACTGCATAACTCCAGCAGCTAACGCGCTGCTAGTACCGACGGGGCCACTTTGTCCTCATACTGGACCAAGTCGAGACTTCTGGACTGCTTAGGGTGAACTGTTCTCCTCAGCGCAATCGCCTTACTACACCTCTGTGAACATAAAACGTCATTAACTAGACAGACAGTATACTAGGTGACCTTAGATATCACCCTTCCACCGGGGAATTGAAACTGTAATTGCTTTCACAACCTAGATGGTGTTGATATCGTTATGCCACCCACCAGAGGTCATCATCGTAGACCTCACCTTCTAACTGAGGTATGAAACAGGAGCCTTTCACCAACGCCACACCACCGCCAACAGATGGCGTTGTCTGCGTCTCACCTAATACCTGGGAGTTGGAGTGCAGGTCCATAGATGGCGCCGAAATCGCCACTCCACACTCCAGCAACGGTGTCGATACTATAACACTTATAGTAGCAATTTAGTCCAAAGTATCAATATGTAGTGATAGACCACCAAATAGGTGACTTTTGTATTACTGAATTTGGATAACTGGGAAAACTTTTTCAACGGTAGCATAAATACAAGACCTAACCTAACCTCCCCTAGCAATACCAGGCCTAATACATGCTGTCGTAGGCCTACTATCAAGAACATGTATATGCTATATTTGGCCTAGGAATATTTAAAATGGGTTTTAACTTTATTTTTTCCGGAGTCTGTAAAATAGCAAGTACTTAAAGGGAATTATTGGTAGTGTGGAGTCATGTGGGAAGTCCTCATTTATTTCATTTATCTTACCTTCAGCGGACTATATAATGACTGTTATCATGTTCCTCACAGCTCCATACGGAGGGGGGGGGGAGGTCTTGTTTATTATAGCCATATTTAATTAATTAAGAATTAGCCCATTCAATGCTGAAATACTTAATTTGAACTTAAACTTATTTGGACAACTGAGTTGACGAAATTTGATTCTTAACTTATTTAACTTTTGAAGGCGCAGCCTCATGGCGTTTATTGTACATATATTTATGATTGTCGCTGAATAGGCTAAATATTATTACAAATTACCAATTAATTAATTATAGTTAAATTTAACTACAATTAAGAAGTGAATAATTAATATAAGAATGGCTGAGATGTTAGAGTATAGTGACCAGCTTGGTCGATCAATATAGCAACGGTAAGCTGGCGTCATACTCTGGGACATGGCATTAACCTCAAACACCACCAGCCGGTAATTGTAGTGTTAGACTCAAATTATCATTCTATGATTACTCATATTTAGATTCATCAATTGTAAAGAGTTAAATCAAGGCACTGACACTCACGCTAGCTTGTTGCTCCTCCCTCGCTCCTAGCATGTATGAAATGGTAAACAAATATATACTAGAACAGAGCTGGAGGACTTAGCGTCCTAACATGGGCCGGGGAATGACCTGTTCCGGTCCTGGACGTATAGAACAGCAGTAAGCGTCTGTAGTTACGCCGTAAAGCGTAGGTTTTAGCATTTGTATCTACTTTGTGAGAGCAAGAGTGAGTAATGGCGTCCCTCCGCCTCCAGTGGCAGATGGAGGCTTTCGTGCTATTCAATTATACGAAGCAACAACCTCCTTCTTTTATTGATTTGGTTGATTTATTCAAACCATGTTTTCAGTAAATTATAATTAGATATCAATTCAATCTCAGAGTTGTTTAGTAAGTTGTAAGCCTCAGATGCATAGCCTGATTTACTGCGCAGTTATAATTACGCGTCATTTTTTTCATTAGCTTTATTAACTTAAGCTGACAGTAACACTCATCACGTTTTAGTTTGATAATTTGTAATTAAAGTTATTTGGAGATTATTTCCCACTGGTGGCCTGTCATACATGTTGGTGCGTTTGGCAACAGTTACACCTAATAAGTTTTATCATTTCAGGAGGATAGGTTGATTCACTCTATAATATCCTCAATCACGCTCTCATACCCATCTCACTCATGCTCTCACAACCACTCATAACCAGCTCACTCGCTGGATATGAGTGGTTGTGAGAGCGTGGGTGAGCTGGATATAATTTCCATTACTATAGTGCCATGATACTACTTGACCACCATGCCAGATGCGGTACGAGGAGACGGCCGGGCCGGAGTGGTTGTGGTGGCTGGCGACCATGGCTCTGGTGATGTTCAACGCTATGCTGGTGGTGTGGTTCATCCTCCTGGAGGACGTGACGCAGGTCGTCGTCGCCTGCCTCGCCACCCTCGCCTACATCGTCTTCTTCAAGTTCGCCAAGGACGACATCATGACGCTTCGTCAGCACCACACCACCAAGGTGCTCCACTACTCTTTCTCTCTTTCTCCCTCATCTTGTCATACTTATGTCTCACATGTCTGATGTCTCACATGTCTTACATGTCTCATGTCTCACTTACAGAGCAGCGAGGAGACGACTTGAAGGATGAGTGGCGGCCACACCCAGGGCCACAGCCGGGGCCACACCCTGGGCCAGACCCAGGGCCACAGCCAGGGCCACAGCCGGGGCCACACCCGGCCTCCCCGCCTGAGGATGTTGGTGATCATGGTGTATTAGTGACAATACTGCCTCCACCCCTCTCTCTCTCTCTCTTGTTAATCATGTGCTGTGTCACACTCTCTTGTTCATGTGCTGTGTCACACTCTCTTGTTCATGTGCTGTGTCACACTCTCTTGTTCATGTGCTGTGTCACACTCTCTTGTTCATGTGCTGTGTCACACTCTCTTGTTCATGTGCTGTGTCACACTCTCTTGTTCATGTGCTGTGTCACACTCTCTTGTTCATGTGCTGTGTCACACTCTCTTGTTCATGTGCTGTGTCACACTCTCTTGTTCATGTGCTGTGTCACACTCTCTTGTTCATGTGCTGTGTCACACTCTCTTGTTCATGTGCTGTGTCACACTCTCTTGTTCATGTGCTGTGATACACTCTCTTGTTCATGTGCTGTGTCACACTCTCTTGTTCATGTGCTATGTCACACTCTCTTGTTCATGTGCTATGGCACACTCTCTTGTTCATGTGCTGTGTCACACTCTCTTGTTCATGTGCTGTGTCACACTCTCTTGTTCATGTGCTGTGTCACACTCTCTTGTTCATGTGCTATGTCACACTCTCTTGTTCATGTGCTGTGTCACACTCTCTTGTTCATGTGCTGTGTCACACTCTCTTGTTCATGTGCTGTGTCACACTCTCTTGTTCATGTGCTGTGTCACACTCTCTTGTTCATGTGCTGTGTCACACTCTCTTGTTCATGTGCTGTGTCACACTCTCTTGTTCATGTGCTGTGTCACACTCTCTTGTTCATGTGCTGTGTCACACTCTCTTGTTCATGTGCTGTGTCACACTCTCTTGTTCATGTGCTGTGATACACTCTCTTGTTCATGTGCTGTGTCACACTCTCTTGTTCATGTGCTATGTCACACTCTCTTGTTCATGTGCTATGGCACACTCTCTTGTTCATGTGCTGTGTCACACTCTCTTGTTCATGTGCTGTGTCACACTCTCTTGTTCATGTGCTGTGTCACACTCTCTTGTTCATGTGCTGTGTCACACTCTCTTGTTCATGTGCTATGTCACACTCTCTTGTTCATGTGCTGTGTCACACTCTCTTGTTCATGTGCTGTGTCACACTCTCTTGTTCATGTGCTGTGTCACACTCTCTTGTTCATGTGCTGTGTCACACTCTCTTGTTCATGTGCTGTGTCACACTCTCTTGTTCATGTGCTGTGTCACACTCTCTTGTTCATGTGCTGTGTCACACTCTCTTGTTCATGTGCTGTGTCACACTCTCTTGTTCATGTGCTGTGTCACACTCTCTTGTTCATGTGCTGTGTCACACTCTCTTGTTCATATGCTGTGATACTAAAGTCTTAACACATTAAAGATTCTCTCTCTATATACCTCGGAATTGGACACAATAAAACACTAACATTTCCACTAAGACATTTGTAGAACATTTAGTCCCTGATCGATAAGGCCGCCCAATCTTAAGATTAACTGACATCACCAGCACAGTCAGTGATGTCACTGTGTGTGTGTGGTACAGTTTAAGTACAGAGAGTACAGAGAGGTTCTGTCGCAGGGAGCCACAACAGCCGACTTGGTCATCAACAGGCGAGGCAAATCCTCATTGAAAGCAGAGCGTGTTGGTTGTGGGGGAGATCAGAGCGTCCCTGATGGGCTTATTAACTGGTCCTGAATGGTCGTCAATATATTCAGAGCCCCGTCTAGTACTCTCATTGTCAGGTGTGTGTGCTCAGATCGACGTTGTTGTTGTTTTCAATTTAGCTACTCAGAACGAAGTGTCCATGTAGCTATGGTGAGCCCGTAAACCTCAGGTCGACGGCTGAAACATTCTTTCATAGTAAGATCACACACCTGCCATCCTTAAACCTACATCACACACACACACACACACCTGTCATCCCATAAAAATACGTCACACACACCTGTAATCCTTTAAACATGCATCACACACACTCACACTTGTCGCATCAGGTATCATGGTAGCTTATTAGCATTACCAACCGATCACAGGAGGTTTCGTGATAGGCATCATAAAGGTATAATGAAAATCTATGAGCATTACAAAAGTATAATGAAAGTCTACGGGCATTACAAAAGTATAATGAAAGTCTACGGGCATTACAAAAGTATAATGAGAGTCTACGGGCATTACAAATGTGCTGTACAATGGTAGTTATTGACCACATAATTATTTGCTCCGGTTCTTGGGCAGGGTAAGGTGATCATGAGGAGAATATGCTAAGCCAGTACAATTATATAGGATCTTAGAAGGGACATAAGGAGAAGTATGTGGGATATGACGGAGGGAAGGAATAGTGCCCAAACACTTAGACCATCGAGGATCGAACGCCGACGTGTAAGACGCGAGGCCGTCGCTGTACCGACCAGTCCAACTGGTCGTGTAAAGAAATACTACAGCATGAGGGGGTAAACATAGCCTTGGCAAGGCCTGGCCAGCTGTTAGAGGGGGAGATTAACGCTGCTTCCTGTATTGCTGCGGTTGGCATGACACGTGGGTCGTCTCAATTGGTCCTTGTTGGTGTACTCACCGCTGGGTCGCTGGGCCGCTGGGCCGCTGGGTCGTTGGGTCGCTGGGTCGCTGGGTCGCTGGGCCGCTGGGTCGTTGGGTCGCTGGGTCGCTGGGTCGCTGGGCCGCTGGGCCGCTGGGTCGTTGGGTCGCTCGGTCGCTGGGTCGCTGGGCCGCTGGGTCGTTGGGTCGCTGGGTCGCTGGGTCGCTGGGCCGCTGGGCCGCTGGGTCGTTGGGTCGCTGGGTCGCTGGGCCGCTGGGTCGCTGGGTCGGTGGGTCGCTGGTCGCTGGGTCGTGTTTGATGCCGTGCACACCACCTCAAGGCCGCCACGTGTCACCAAGGTCGTCCAGTGGGTAAGGGGAAGCTGGAAGATGTTGAAGGGTGACAAGTTGCAGCCGTGACTGTCTCTGGCCACCAGGTACACCTTCCCCGCTAGTGTGACCTGAGCTGTCATCAAATAATTTGAGAGGATTTGTCTGTATAATTGATAGATGTTCTCGTATTCATGGTGTATCTGGAGACCGTCATTGGCTTCATCAGTGCTGTGTGAATTTTCTGAAAGGAATCTATAAGTGTTGCTCCAGAATAGGACTTATAAAATGGAAAATAAGAACATTCCATTGCTCTAAAATCCTGCCCATGTTTTTTTGTGGTAAAGAAAAAATATAGAACTTCTGTGCAAAATGTACTGAAAGACCACTGTACCGCTAGCTTCGAATTGTATGGTTTTAGTACAACTGTGCTTCTTGTGGCAACACTTGGGTCGGCCGCTCTCTTACCTCACATAACCTATGTTGTCCAGAAACATAGAAAGCTTGTCAACCGATCATAACTCCTCTATAGTGATGATGCAATTGCTGGCAAAACATAGATGACGCTGAGTACATTGTTAATTAGTAGTACTGAAACATTCAAAATTAGGCGACGTATTAGTAGTATTCAATTCTAATTATCGATATGACTGAAAATATGGCGTGTTGGACATAAAAAACTGAGAGTGTAAATGACAACGTGAACATCGCCTATCGTAACACCAGCGTTATATCTGAGCTTATACATAAATACGGGTCAAGAAGCAGAGGGGAAACGGTATCGGAGAAGATGGACGATCACTGGCGAGTAATTTAAACACCTGGGGCCAGATTCACGAAGCATTTACGCAAGCACTTACGAACCTGTACATCTTGTCACAATCTTTGGCAGCTTTGTTTACAATTATTAAGCAGTTAATGAGCTCCGAAGCACCAGGAGGCTGTTTATAACAATAACAACAGTTGATTGGGAAGTTTTCATGCTTGTAAACTGTTTAATAAATGTAACCAAAGCCGTCAAAGATTGAGGAAAGATGTACACGTTCGTAAGTACTTGCGCAACTGCTTCGTGAATCTGGCCCCTGGAGGATATATTCAGTCCACCAAGAACCTCACAGATAAACAAATCCACAGGAGCCGTGATGAGGGATCGAACCTATGCGCTGGGGGTTCCCAGATAGATGCATGCTCTGTATTGTGGTATATCACGATGGTGTGACTTCTCTGTGCACTTCACAAGTATGTTACCTTGGGTAACTCTAGGTGGTCTCTCCACGCTTCTTGAAATAACAATTCCTGGTCCTTAAATGAATTGTTTTGTGTTGTCCACTAAGAGGGCAGTAATTCGGCTGCTGTATATAATTCTGCAGTTAATTCAGGTAGTTTTAATTCCACTAATCGTTTTATAGCTAAAGGAGATTAATATTGTTTCTGAAGCCCCAGCTCGGGGTGGAGGGCAGTTGGAACATCGTATTAAAGTGACAGAGACTAACGGAAAGGAACCAGACGACATAGAATGAGCTGAAAATCGACATTACTGAGCAAGATTACTGAGCATAATTACTGCCCGAAACGCTTTGCGTAATAGTGGCTTTAGGCATCGTATGTACTAGCTCTATCTATAAATCCATAAACTTTTTGTATCTCACCTTGTATATATGTAATTTACCTGAATAAATATTTGTATTTTTTTGTAAGATGAGCGAAAAGAGACAGAGAGAAAAGAAAATAAGAAACAAGGTTGTTTTAGGAAAACCCGACTAACTTATGACAACACACAAAGAAAGATAACTGACGGAAACTCCCATAGAATCGAGAGGAAAGGTGGAGCTAAAAACAAAACAAAATTAGTAAAAGGGCCGAGGATCAGAGCCAAAATACCGGTGACAACAAGAAGACACTTTCTACGACACGATGAAAAGAATGAGAACATCAATAATAATAGAAGCATATTAACATTATGAAAAAGTGACAGTGTTGAATAACAGCTGTTTTGCCTCTGGGGCCCTAGAGCGAATCCTAATTATACAAATAATAATAATAATAATAATAAAATAAAACAAAAATATATTTGTTAGCCACAGCCAACAGAGAGGCTAATAAAAGAAAACGTGAAAGAAACCGTGACAGAGAAAGCGTAAAAATAGGGGATTCTTCATTAAAAAACGCTAATAGGAGGAAAAACAGTAGAGTAAAATTACTATGAAGCTACAATTTTAGTACAGACAATGAGCTGAGAGTCTATATAAGAGATGGGACACGAGAATGGAGTAAAGGAACGTTCCCGGCCAATGCAGTTTAGGGAAACCATGTTTCGCCTGTCCCCCTTAACCATGTTTAATCTAACATTTTTGTTTATTTTATTTATATATATATACAATAGTTCTTACATTCTTGTACAGCCACTAGCACGCATAACATTTCGGGCAAGTCTTTAATATTAATTTCCTCCGGAAATACGACCCGCCAAATCGTTTAACAACCAGGTACCCATTCACTACTGGGTGAACCAAGACTACAGTTAAGGATTGGCGCCCGGTCAATCCTCCCCGGCCAGGATACGAACCCAGGCCAAAGTGCTCGCGAAGCCCTGGCCGAGTGCTTAAACCCTGCACCATGGCCATGTGGCCACGTCTTGATGCCATGTCTGGTCCACCTTCCCAGTCAAGTCTAAGTTCACTTCTCCAGCCATGTTTGGTCCATCTTTTTGGCCATGTCTGGTTCACCTTCCTGGCCATGTCTGGCCCACTTTCCCCACCATGTTTGCCTCGTTTTCCCGGTTAAGTATGGCCCACCTCCCTGGTCATCTTTGGCCCATCTTTTTTATCCATGTTTGGTAGGGGTACAGTGCCAATTTTATAGGTGCCGGAGCTCTGGTGGGCCTGACAAAAGCCTGTCATTTCTTATCCTGTTTCTATATGTCACACGATTAACAATGTCATGTTTATACTCACTAATTATCATAAAATATAATTATTAAGCAAAAAAGAAAAAACATCAATCATGTATTTATCAATTTAAGAAGTTAAAACACTCAGTGCTCACAAAATACAACCAGTGAGAAGTTTCACACCAGTTTCCATAAAGGATCAGGTGAGAGATGTTTTCAGGGGTGTGAAGCAACTTTTGTCGTGGTGTCATCTGGTGATCTGTGGCACCGCAGCCATGATATATGGCATATGGCTCTGGATGCCACTGAACTAGAGGAGGTCCATGTAGTTTAACAAACATAAGTGCTGATACATGATTCATGAGAATTCTTGAGTGTTGTTGTTATGAGGTTCATGTGAGTGAATCCCCCATAAATGATTAATTCCATAAACTTCTCTCACTGAATCACCTTCTGCAAGTTCTAATCTGTGATTAAGACAGTGCCAGATTATTAAATCAGGTTAATGTTCCTTGAGAATTGTTGCAACGCCAGATTTGTCACCAAGCATGACACTTGCCCCATCACCAGCATATACTACAAGGTTCTGTTTCAAATATAAGTCATCAAACCCATGATAATTGAGACAGTTCAATAGATGCCTAGCAATAGTTGGTGCTCTCTGACCAGGTAGTTCAATTAGATCTAAGAACATGAAATGGGGATTACCTTCCTTATCACTTTCACATTTCAAGTAAACTATCAAGGTTGTTTTAATGCTCAGGCTTGTTGATTCATCAATGAGAACATAAATGTTATCATTTATCTGCTTGATATGCTGGCAAATTTTATTTTTCATATTAATGGTTACGTGATTAATTATCTCTGTGGCACTAGTGCGGGAGTGCAGTACCATTTTTTTTTTTGAGATATATACAAGAGTTGTTACATTCTTGTACAACCACTAGTACGCGTAGCGTTTCAGGCAAGTCCTTAATCCTATGGGCCCTGGAATACGATCCCCTGCCGCGAAGAATCGTTTTTTCATCCAAGTACACATTTTACTGTTGCGTTAAACAGAGGCTACAGTTAAGGAATTGCGCCCAGTAAATCCTCCCCGGCCAGGATACGAACCCATGACATAGCGCTCGCGGAACGCCAGGCGAGTGTCTTACCACTACACCACGGAGACTGCTAAATTCCAATGTCAACACAATTTTACTTTTGTAGTTCTAGTAAGCCAAAGTGATCAGAGTATGGTCTGACAGTCTGAGCTAAATAATATGCAGAACACAAAATTGAACAAGTTGTCTTTAGACGCGAAGCATTCATTGCATCACACAATGTTCCAAGAACATCTTCACTAGCTACATGTTCAACACGTAAAGCAGCAGTGTGATCTTTCAATAGTTTATGATCAACAATTTTGTTCTGAGAGACTTCAAGCGTGTTCTTGGATGTGCTCCATAATAGTGTACTTAGTACATCTGTCACTCATTTGATAGTCTTAAACCCTTAGAAGTGAAAAGTGTTACATTACTTATGTTTGCACACACTTCACACCCAAGTTCATCATCCCTGAAGTCTAACCATGGATAAGTTTCCTTTTCCCTACACCATTTCTTCAGTCCAAACACCTGAACAGGGATACAAGTTACACTTCAAAGCATCATTACATTCTGAATTGCACATGAATCCAGTTTGAAAATTTGAACCAGAGAAGCCGTCAAGACACAACTCTTGCCATTTTCACTGTTACCATTATCAGTCTCCTGTACGTTATTCTTCTTACACTCCTCATTTTGCTTTGGAAAGAAGGAAGTCAATATTGTTTTGCTTAGAAGCCATGATGGGGTTTGTGAGAAAAAAATCTTCTGTATTAGAGAGAAATCTACAGACCACCAGACGGTAACACTAGCTCTCCACATATGTCAGTTACGTAAATTAGAAACTGTACTTGTGGTCAGTATGGAGCCTATTGTTGATGTGACGATTACATCAGAATCATTTGTATATCATACATCACATGAACATCCTACATCGATAGATAATATCTAAACCATACAGTATGGATCCAACATGACACTGCCACAATGGTGACATCCGCCAATCGGCCTATGAATCCCCACGAGACTTTGTATATGTAATCTCAAGAATCTAGAAGCTTCGACAAGAAATTGTCTTAATTAATAAACTATTGGAACAGATTTGACTTCCGGTAATGGTTAATTAAAATCTGTTATAAAGAATCGATTTGTACTATAATTACCTATAATCATTAAATCCAATATATATATTATAATCCCACTTTACCTCAAATTAATCGTTTAGACGAGAAATATATCATAAATATATCATGACCAGTCAACGGCCTACAGAGAGCATGGTGGGAGTGGCTGGGACCTTAAGCGCCCAGGCCAGATCGTTCTGTTTACAAACAGGGAACACGTGCGGGGGTGCTTTGAGACATTTTCAAGACAATACCGCACGAACTAATCATAAATTACCAGCGATTACTCTCTAAGATACTTAGAGAGCTCCTAGACTATATATCAGAACAAATCCTGATACATTTATCTAAATACCAGTGTAGAGAGTGGCCCCTTACCCAGCACGTGAGGTCGCCTCCACCACCACAGAATCCTATCCTGACAAACGCTAGATTTTTTATATAAAAATACAGTACTTTATCTCATCAAGAGAGATCTTAAATCTAGCATCTTGTCAGATGGCATCGGTTCTAATTTTTTGGGTAAGTTATTAATAATTATTAAGTGTTTTGTAGAGTGTAAATTAGCCAATTACATGCTTTATAACTTAACATAATACGTCCCTTTTAAACTGGTAATCATTAAGGCACGAGGTAACACCCCAATATCCAGTAGGCATTTGAATTTTCAATTAACTTTTCAATTAACTTAATCGTTTCATTTTAATCTGTATATATAACTTTCTGCATATATAATTTATCTGATTCATCAATTTATCAATTGCTCTCATAGTTATCACCAATTTATCATATT